GGAAATCTTTATCTGCAATGAAGTGTTGCCTCTAAACTAGTTACAAACTCTATTTTGACACAAAGAACAACAATACAATATTATAGTAGTTTTAAAAAGAGACTATACCAGTTTTAAGATTAAAATAATTCAAAAACTGCTAAGAGAATCTCACATTTTACCGTAAATGTCTAGTTTGGGCCACCCTGAGGTTTCTCACTTTTTGCCACACTGCGTTTCTTTTCTGTTTTTTTTAGTTGTTTCTTGCCGATGCACGAGAGTCTTAAGGACAGTGATGATCCATGACATTTGAGGACATTTATTAACATTTATGGACGTTGGTCATCCCGCTCCCTATGAATCAACAGCTCCTATGTGTTTGTAATATTGCATCTCCTGTGACTTCTGATCTGTTGTTGGCGAATCAACACATTTTTAAAGTCCTCCACGACGACTGCTGTTGTGATTTAGGGCTGTACAAAACTACAATGAACTGAATTGAAGAGACACTATGTTAAATGACACACAAAAAATGACTACAATTTTGCAATAGTGTTGTGTGAACAGCATGTGTGAAAATCTCCCTCTTCAGCCAAATCACGTTTATTCTATTCTATTGTAGATGTCACATGTTTTGATGCTTCACTTTCAATCGCGGGTCGCAAGTGGATATTGTGTATATTTTCTGGACCCTGCTTAAATAAATCTGGGCTCCCCTCTAACGACGGATACATAGATGAAATAGGAATCGTGCTCACCACATAGAAGGACGAGTGCTTTGATGGTGAATGGTTTTAACAAGGTGAAAGCTTTGTGCTCAGACCTGCTAAAGACTGAGGGCCACAAGGGGAAATTAATGGCCTTTAGAAGAGGGCCTGATGGAGGGTGCCTCATTTAGCAGACCACCTGAGATGCACCTTTCCCTCAAGGGATCATCTCCTTTTAGAGACATGCAAAGAGACATGAGATGAAAGGCTGCTGTGTCCTGGGAGTTTGTACTTCACGCTTCCTGCTTAATGTAATCTTGGGATTTCACATTTGCTTTATTCCATATGTGATTTAATGTTTGACTGATTTCTTGATGATGACGAGGGAGGATAGAAAGTGCAGCACATAGACTGTAAACATTAGCATAGCATAAGTGTGTGGAAACGTGGAAACAGCTGCGTATTTATCTCATAGCGCAAACGGACAGAACCTGTAACGTTTACAGTAATGACATGAAATCCAGAATATTATTTCAATACGTTATTAACTGTAGCCAACACGATGTAAGCATAAAAAACTATTTCCAAACCCATGCTTGAAGCTGCCAAAAGACACACCAGTAGTTTTTATTGACCTTTGTTTGACTGTTGTTACTACTTTATGTTTACTGTGGAGCGCTTTGAAACACTGTTTTTTAAAAGTGTTATAAAATAAAGATATATTATTATTATTACAACTAGAATTTCAGAATCCATTTTTCAGGGGAGTCCTGGTCCCAGAGAGAGGGGAGCTATGTTTCATGTTGGTAGGGGAAACCGGAGCAACTGGAGGTGGAATCGAACCCAGGACCTTCTTGCTGTGAGACGCAAGCACTAACCAGTTTGTCACAAAATCCTGCACTGGGGGAGAAAAACACCCCTCAAAGTGGCGCAACTTGGATGTGAAAGTCAGAAGCTAAGCAGCGCAGGGCCTGGTTAGTACTGTGATGGGAGATCTCTGTGAACACCAGGTGCCACAGTGGGGTGGCTGAAAAGTGCCAAACTGTTGTTGTGTCCTAAGGCAAGACACTTCACCCACAGTATTTGGGGGGGGACACTAAAACACTGGAAAGTCCTACACCAGGGCTTTTTCACTGTAAAATTTTTTATCAATATCCCTTATTCACTTGAGTATATCCATGGTCTCTCTTTTGTCCTCGCACTCCCACATCGCCTCTGCCTGTCGCTCACAGACACAGTTACACCGAGATGCGTGGAAATGTCTCACTTTTCGTCTGTCATGTTTAAGCAGAGTCTCTATCGCCTTGTGTCTCTTTATCATCAGTTTCCTGCTGCGGACCACCCTCCTCCACCACCACTGCCCCGGCTCCTCCTGTCCCCACGTGCTCTGTTCTCTGTTGCCAAATGGCCGGGGTAAACTACTTTAGAGGTCATGTTTACAAATCACTCCCAATGCAAATACGATGTTTACAGACTATGGTATTGTGTCGAGGCTGTGGAGGACACTGCACCACTGTTTTAACATCAGCCACTTGAATATTTACGGACGGGCGAGGACAGTTTGATGTCTATGAGCATTGCAAATGTAGTGAGAGTCGTGTCAGATCAGAGGCATTGTCCCAGGGCGCTACAATTATTCGGATTTTAGATGATATTCATGTATAAAACATTAGTCTCAAGGATAAACATTTGTGCTTGAAAGTTTACACAAGCTGACAAGAGATTTCATTGTTTTTCCATAATTTGGAGATAGTGAAATATGTATGATGCTGACACAGCTTTTTACCACTCATCATTTCCTGCTCAGGCTGTAGTCCTCGTTGTACAACCTGAGTCCTGGATCTACAGCCTCAGTCCTGGATCTACAGCCTCAGTCCTGGATCTACAGCCTCAGTCCTGGGTCTACAGCCTCAGTCCTGGATCTACAGCCTCAGTCCTGGATCTACAGCCTCAGTCCTGGATCTACAGCCTCAGTCCTGGATCTACAGCCTCAGTCCTGGATCTACAGCCTATCCCGTTAGTGTCATTCCTTGCTGATGCAGGAGGGTCTAAGTACAGTGCATGATCCATTCTTTGATCTGTTGTTGGTGACTTTGTAAAGTCCTCTGAGGCGACTGCTGTTGTGATTTAGGGCTTTAAAAAAATACATTGAATTGAATTGAATAGACTTTAATCATTAGTGGTTGTAAGAAGGATGATCATGTTTTCTATTTTTACATTTTAACATAATCGCTCTGCCTTGGAGAGATCTCAAAAATGCAGTTTGTACAAGGCAGCCCAGGAATTTATTGAAAGAGGACTAATTGGCCAAAAGGAATGTGCATCTTTAGCATCATAGAGGATACAGAGCCTCATCCACAACAACCACAAACAACTCCAGGCTGTTGTCGACGTGAAAGGGGAAATCCACACTGAGACCTGGGGGATGGAGACTTTTGGTCAGGGTCAGAAAATTGACAAGAATTCACTCAACCACTAACAATGAGTAAAAACAACTTTTTGCATCATAATCTCCAAAATATGACAACAACAACAACAAAAAACGACTTTTCTGGCTTGTCAAACAATTGATTAACCCTACATTAGTCATCTGCCCCTTATGGACCAATGGCTATCTGGGATTTTATTATTGTTGCATTTCCATTTTTCACTTTTTTACTCTAAGATCTGTGTTGGCAAATCAACAACTTTGTAAAGTCCTCAGAGATAACTACAGTTTTGATTCAGGGCAAAAACAAATAGAATTTTCATTAAAATAAAACACATTACTCTAGATCCTTTTCAAAAACGTATATTTTGTGCGTGCAGCCAGAAAGATTGAATCCAAACACTGTTACGCCTGTGATTTTTGCGCGCGTGTTTCCCAGCTCATTCTCCTGTTGTCGTTTCCGTGATTTGTGGGAATTTACAAGCAGCAGTGACGTCCCGGACAAGCGTGGCTCGCTCGCCCCCCGTGCTTTTACACAGCGTCGTCATTAGGATTTACTGCAGCACGCTTCGTTTCAGCGGTCAGCTTTGTGGTCCAGCCTCACGGTGACCTTGAGTTTATAACGTAGCTCCACTAGACATGCCAATCTCTCTCCGGGTTTAATAAAAAGTTGACATGTTGGGAATACATGTAGTAAATAATTATAGTTAAAGTTGGGACTATCCATTGTGCGTACCCTACACAAGCATATACTTTTATTTGAAAGTCTATCATTGAACTAATCCTTGTGGAATGGCCTGTTGTGTAGGCTATCAATGAAGTCCAAACTGTCTGTCTGTGTACGGGTGTAATAGAGTGCTTTTGTGTTGCCAGGACATGACAGGAGTTAGCCGGCTCTACTAAAGTCATTCAAAACAATCGATGAAGCCATGTCTTTTGTCATCGGTCATTCAGTGGGTTTGCAGCACCTGACTCTTCCCACACCCCCTTTCTGTTCTAAATCAAGCAGAAATCAACGAGAAGTTATGATCTTAAGCAATAAGTTTGAATTGGTTCCTGCACTTTTTTCTGTACTTTTAAGCTTGTTTTATTTATGTACTTGTCTGGTGCACCCTGGGGACTTTTGCAAATGTATGCCAATGTGGTTTTACTGCAAATGGTTAAAAAAATGAATCTGAATCTGATAAGAATATAAACCAGGCTAGTGTTGGCCCAGTCTGAGTTATCTAAGTCATTATAATAACTACTTGCTGTGGTGGAGCTCCCTACAGAGGAAGTTCCCCGCGGAGTTCCTCCAAACATACACTGTCACTCATCGTCAAGATAATGTTGGGAGAAAACAAAGAGGCGATCGGGACTCTCACAAACAGATCACTGAGGAGAGAAGTCCACCTATGATGACAACCAAACAAAATATACTTTACCGTTAAAAAGTAATTGAACTGAATGAATGCCACTGAAGAGTTCACTGGCCATGACTTAACCTTCTTCACAATAGGCTTTTGTAATCATTTTAAATGTTAGACCTACACATTTAGCCATCCAAAACATCTGTGTTATTCATGTATTGATTGTTTTCTCATTGCACATCTGACAGGTTTGTAAGTAGACCTTGCTCAGACAAATAAACTTAAAGCTTAGAATATTGAGAAGGATATTTAAAGTGGTCTGCAGCATAAAAGTAAAAGGATTAAAAACAGCAACTGCTTAATGTGAAGTACAGTATTTGATTCCCATAGAAGATATAGGACTTGAGGCAAATGATGACCAAATAAAATATGTCTGGTGTTAACAGAACAGTAGTAAAAGAGTAATAACCACGTGACTGCTGTAGTGTAAAGAGGCAGAGAGAGGTGGCAGCTGTCTTTACACAGAAGGTGACCTACCTTGATGAGTTTGCACCTAATCTGCGCGGACACCATGTGGCTGTTCCTCAAGTTTCCCACCCGGAACATGAGGCACAGTTTCCCGTCCCGTTGTGAGATGACCGCGTCCTGGCTGAACATGAGCGTCTCTGCGCGCTTCTTGGGCTGGGACATTTTTATAAACATGCACCCGATGAGGAACGCGTCCACGATGGAGCCCAGGAGCGACTGGAAGAGGAACAGGATGATGCCTTCGGGACACTTCTCTGTGATGTAGCGGTAGCCGTATCCTATTGTGGCTTCGGTCTCGATAAAGAACAAAAACGCAGAAGGAAAGTTGTAGACGTTCGCGACGCATGGTGTGTAGGACGGGTCGTGGCCGCCGTGGCTCAGGTCCCCACGGATGTACGCGATCACCCACCACATAGAAGCCATGACCAGCCACGCCACGGTGTAGGTGAGGATGAAGATGAGCAGGTTCCAGCGCCACTTGAGGTCTACCAGTGTGGTGAACAAGTCCGAGATGTACCGACTCCTGTCCCCGCCAAGGTTACCGTGCTGCACGTTACAGCGGCCGTTCTTCTCCACGAAACGCTGCCTCTTCTTCTTCACGGGCGCAGAGAAAGTCATGCCCTGGTTAGTGTTCACCACCTGGTAGTCCTCTCCGAATTTCCTCCGTATGGCCGACATGGTCCTGGTGCGTTGTCAGCTTCTTTGCACAAGTTTGGCGCAAGAAAGCATCACCTCATAGGACGCGCATCCCCGGGGGAAGGTCCGCGGGAAGGTCCGGGGAATCTGTGGGAGGCTTCTGTCTGTGATCTTCAGCTAAAGTTTCTGCTGCTGTTGGTTGGATGTGAGGAGCGCATCCCGGTGGCTGTGGTCCCAGGGACACGCAAACGCAGATGACTGTAATAAACACACGGAGGAGGTGCTGGTCCACTTCTAATTGAAGATCGCAGTCTGCAGTGTCACACTGATTAGTTGGGGTGGGATGCTCACAGGGTGAACACAAAAGGGGAGGGCTTTTTACTTACGTCCAATAAGGAAAGCAATAAAAGCATTAGAACGAAAACTCCGAGTGAGCAATGATCCGTGGAAGTGTGTTTTTATTTCATTTGGAACAATGTTTAAAATGTACTCAGCACAGTGCTGTTGGCTCTTACATGTGAACTAATGCTCCAGGTTTATGAAGCCCTAACTCAGTTGAACTGCAGCTGTTTGGCTCCCTCTAGTGACTGGTTCTTTCTTCTCCTGTGGTTGACATAAACAGATTCATACTGAATGCCTCTTTCGGGATGTACATAATTGTACTGTTTCTGTGTTGAAATAATTCCCCCATTGTGGCAAGCACCAATTTCCCAAATGGAACAGAATTGTATCAAGAATAAGAATTATTCAAACAATAAACATCACCAACTATTATTCACCTCTACATTTAGTATCGAATAAATAAACTAAAGGTTGTGAAAGATTGTTCTCATAATAGCTCATAATGGAACTCTGCTGCTTGTATACATCAAAGACTTCCACTGAAGATACTCTTTGTTTTCTTTACACTTTTGTCTTATTATAACAATCATCTAAGCCTTAAACATAAGGAGACATAAAGAACTTTGTACATGTTATTTGCTTGTATACATGCTGTTGCAACATTTCTTTATTAAGAAAGAATAGCTCTTGGTATGGATCACGTTTTCTAAGGCGGTCCTCTGGTGATCCTCCAGGTTGTTTGTTTTGGCTGTGGTGATAAATCTGTTTAAATATGTTTTTAAAACATTAAAAATATCTGTAAGATGATGTGCTTGTGAGAATTAAGTAATTATAAGCCTCATTAAAGTATCTGAGGATTTCCACACTTATTAGTCAAGTGGGTTTGGTTCACTCAGCAACAGTTCTCATCTAAACCATGACGAGTGGACCAGTCAGTGAAATCTTGTTTGTGGAATTCATATAAAAAGTGTACCAGAATTAGTTCTGAGTGAACCATAACTTCACCTAATGTGGCCTAAATCATCTGATTCTGGCTCGATTCATGGGGCATGTTTTGATTTATTTTCAAAAAAATTGGATAGGATTGAAGACTGATGGTGGTTTAGCATTACCTGACTCTAAACTCACACCCTAAGTCATCTGATCATGTGAATGGGTCATGTGCAAGTGGGTAAGGTTTTCAAACGTATATTCTTCATACAGCATAAAAAAAAGTTCAGTTTGAAAAGGGGTTGGACGAAGCAAATGCCTACAATTTAATATGTTCATCTTGCAATAGTGCACACATAGCTGATGGTATACTAATACAAAGACCTAGAGGCAACAGCAGTCATCTCAGAGGACTTAACAAAACCATTGAAATCACCAACACAGATCAGAGAATCAACAGTTAAGACACAACAAAAATACACATATGTATAGGTCCATAGGGAGAGACCAATGTCCATGAATGTTGATAAATGTCTATACATGTTGTAGAATGTTAAAGTGTCCTGGATCATCACTACAGTCCTTGTTAGACACTATTGTCCAACAGACCCTCCTGCATCGGCAAGGAAAAACTCTAAAACCCAGTGGGAGAAAAGTGAGAAACCTCGGGGAGATCCACATTGAGAAAGGGATCTGCTCCACACGGACGGACGGGCTATAGATCCAGGACCTAAGCTACAGAACGAGCACCAGGGCCACGCAGCGGCCGCATCCGTTGTGATGTGGAATCAAGATTCTCTGTCAAGACCTCAGCCTGTTTCACCACTGACTTGAGGGTCAGATGAGAGAAAAGTTGTATATATAGTGTAAATAAAACTCGGCTGCCTATCTTATGCCGCTTTTAGACAGTATATATATTCAATGAATAGCGTTAAGGCCCACAGCTGAACTCAAGGATAGTGATATATTACATAAAATAAACATATTATCACAATATTCCTAATATTATTTTACAGATTTATTCTGATTTGTGCAAATTTGAATAATTGTGTTCTGTGGATCGGTGTGTTTCACTTACCACCTATACCCGCCTATTTACTCATTACTTTTATTTTATTTTAAGACAATTTTCAACATTAAATACACAATTTTGGCCAACTACAGTTGTTCACATTTGATGTAAACACAAAAACAATAAAGCCATACTATTAGGATTAAGATATCCTTTGTTCGTCCCACAGTGGCGACATTTAAGTGTTGCATCACCAGTTACAAAACAGTAATTCCTACTGGAATTCCTAGGAGCACACGGCACAATAACTCTATACTAAAATAAAATACAATCTCTAATTTGAGCATATTAAAAATGCAAGTATAAAATCTCTAATTTTAGAGTAATAAAGAAGTAAGCATTAAATCTCTAATTTTAGCATAATAAAGAAGTATGAAATCTCTAACTTTAGCATGATAAAGAAGCAAGTATAAAATGTATATTTTAGTGTAAGACATATTGGGTTTCTCTTCACCCTGCTTCAGTCTTGCTATAGAGTGCAGATAAAGCTAATCAGTGTGATAAGTGTATGTTCTGTGTTGTGTGGATGTGGTGTTTTCGTTTGCAGTTCAAAGTGTGAAGTGTTTTGAAGTCTAGTCTGGTCTAGAGCGTGTCTGTGCTTCTGTCTCCTCTCACGACCCGTCCGCTGCCAACTCCCACAATTCCACGCGCCAGGACAAGATGGAAGAAAGCAGCGACCGCCGGAGAACAATGTTTTGGCAATAAAACCACAAATCTGAGGATACGGATGGGATATATGTGCGATTTCACTTCACTGCGGTCATGTGTAGGTGAGTCCTAAAGAGAATCGTCCCGGATATCGCACACAGACCAAGGCATAGTGGAAATAAACGCGACGGGATCGTCTGGCTCTCTCAAAGGAGACGCACTGAGCCCAGCGAGCATCATTGTTTCTCTTGTAGGTTTGAGTTCGGCTCAATGTGCATTCACACTGAGACCTTCTTCTGGTTTCACAGCCACGCAAGTTTCAACTTGTCATTCTAATTGAATCGGGTTGATAAAGCATAAGCAAACGCCAATGTTTGTATAAAATACGTAAATCCTCCTTCGTTAAGCATAAAGCCACAAAGGGGCACATGTCAGTGTTACATCTGATCTGTAGTTCTACAAATGAGGAAATAAGAGAATATTCACAATGACAGAAACTAGGTGTTGTTTTATTTAGTTTTTAAAACTCTGAATGATTATTGTTGCTCTAACATTGTGTTAATGCTATTTACTTAATATGAATATCGACATTTAAGTTTGATCTTAAGTATGCGCTTATTTCATGTTAACAGAAACAGTGAACGAAATAATTCGTTAATCCTTAAGATCATCCTGCGTGTTATTATAAAAAAATGAATTCTACTTTGTTTAGCACCGGGAGCTGACTGCACACTGCGGGTTTCAGAGGCTACAGCTAACTAGCTTAGCTAGCTCATGGCCCACACTTGATTGTTATCAACACAACAACAGTCGTGAAACCTGTGTCTCTGTGGCTCTGGATCTGAGTAGATCCGTGCCCTGCCACCCGACATGAACCCTCACCAAGGCCACGTTTGTCACAGACTGTTTACAGCTCGGTGTGACCCGGGTCAGGGCTAACTCAGTCTGGTTGTTGTCGCTGCTAAAGTTAGCTCTGCTCACGGACACATCTGATCCCGAGCGTCATCATTGCTCAGAACACGCTCCATATTAGATCATGTGTGTTTTGTCTTCATATTCAATTGTGTTATTGCACATCAACAAACCGTAATTACGAACCTTAGATTGGTCATTTTAGCGTAAGATTAAGTCAGCCAGATCTAGCCTTATTAGCATTAGCTTTTTTGCTAACTTCAGCTAGTTAGTACAACCTGTATTTACACTTTTAACACCCAAATGTTTTATTTTCATTCTGGAAATTTCCACTAAGGATCAGGCGTGTTCTACAACATGTTTGGCTTTGTAGGAGTCTTTATCTATGTCAACATTGTCTTTAATAAATATAGCATTGATAGCATAATCAATGACTATCATTTATTACCAAAAAATCAAATTCGTTAAATTATCCATTCATTTAAACCGTTTACATTTACATTTATATAATGAAACTCAATCTTGTGTTCTTTCTTTAGGACAAGTCCCTGCATTTCCTTGTAGTTATCAACCACCCTTTTCTCTGAAGTTTCAAACACCACCATGAGTATTATCCAGGACAAATTAGGCAATGAGTTTTTGCGCAACGGCGGTATGGACCCCAATTTTGCACCAGGCATGCTCATGTTCAGCCACTTGCCTCCTGTCACCAGCTTTACTCGACTGGCTTCCCAACCAGTGATGAACGAGCTTCCACAGGAAATGATTCTGAAGAAGGAACGGGACTCGCCGCCAGAGAATCAGGGAAATCCTGGTCCCAATACAGGGGGGTTCCTCCACAGCATGGGCATTAAGCAGGAGCGATTAAGTGAGCTTGATTACCGCATGCCTCTCTATGGAGGGAATGGAGGAGTGCATGTCAATTGTTCTGGAGTGGACGCAGGGAAGAGCGTTGAAATGCCAGAAATGTCCTACAGCAATCATCACCAAAATCACCAGAACATGCTCCTTCATGATTTGAGCCTTGTAAATGTAAGTACTCCCAGGAGTCAGTCAGTAAAAGTAGATTTTTTTTCACTTTGTCAATTAACTAAACTGAAATTGAATGTCTATAGATGCCTGGAAGACCAGGTAAAGAGACAAAAGATTCCTCAGTCAGAAAAGGCAGAAGAAGCAACGGAGAGGGACAAACTGGCAAGCCCCGGCGGAAGCGCAACGATCCTGCCAAGGTTTTGTGCCAGCTTTTAGACACTTTCATGTTTCTCACTCTTAGTATCTAAGAATATGTTCTCAATGTCCAAATGTAGGCTATGATGCTGGATGCGGATGGAATGTGCCTGTCACCGAACTCGAAACCACATATCTGTGAGCACTGTAACGCTGCTTTCCGCAGCTCCTATCACTTGCGCAGACATGTACTCATACACACAGGTGAGTCTTTGTATCATTTATTTACATAATATACTGTTCTCATCATTCAATATGTTACACGATTTAGCTTTAGATTTCTGCATTGTCTCCTTTTCATAATTAAACGTTTTATTGTTAGCTCCATGGAGATTCAGGCCTGAACATGACTCATGGTTTGCTGGATGACTTAGTCATCTTTATGACGAGAACTCTGTGCAAACCCATTGATCTCACACTTGAAACTATTCAAAGTTTCTTAATTGTATGACTTTTTTGTTGAATTGAAATTTGTGTTAGGTCATAGATATTTATTTTCTGATTGCTCAGGTGAGAGGCCTTTTCGGTGCAGTCAGTGTAACATGAGCTTCATTCAGAAGTACCTGCTCCAGCGACACGAGAAGATTCACAGTGGTATGTATCTTAACCATTATGATTTCTTTTAACATTCAAGTCAAATGAGATTATTATTCAACAATGCTGTTCAAAAAAAAAAAATCTAAATATGAAAAATAAGTCAATTTAAATAAAAATAGACTATTTCTTTTTCAATAAAATAGTAATTTAGTTCATAAGTTAATTTTAGTGGATAACAGAAACAAGGCCTTGATTATTATAAATCATACCATTTCTCTCCACCCATGACCCCTTCATTTTTAGATGTGTTTGTAATTAACGTGTGGCTGTATGTTAGACTTACATACTTTATTGATCTACAAGGGAAATTGCGTTGTCACAGTAGCTTGCATAGTATTGCACAATAAAAAATAACATAAAAGTAATCTAGAGATAAGAAGAATATAGGATAATATTGATTAATATGAATGTTTTCTTCAAAAAGTACATCAGATGGGTTTCTATTGTGCTGTTTTTTTCCAAAGGGGAGAAACCTTTTAGCTGTGACCAGTGCAACATGCGCTTTATTCAGAAATACCACATGGAGCGACACAAGAGGACACATAGTGGTGAAAAGCCATATCGATGTGACACCTGCCAACAAGTAAGAGCATCTGTCTATCAATGCTGCACAACTACTTGCTAGATGCCAAAACTTGTGTAATTTTTGTATTTTGTTTTTTTCCCATTCAGTTTTTCTCAAGAACAGACCGGTTACTGAAGCACAAACGGACTTGTGTAGAAGCCATAAAGAAAGGCTTGGACCCAAACATGCTGGAGCTCAGCGAAGCCGAACTGGGCCAGGGCAGCTATTCACACACTCAGGGAAACGCTACCACCTCTGGACGTAAGAGGGCAAAGTCAAAAAACGGGGAGGGAGGTGAGCGGAAACGGAAGAAAAATGCCTCAGCTTCTGCGGCTGGAGGTTCTTCTGATGGAATGGGCTTGCAGGACTTCAACATGGAGCACCCATCTGGTTCTGCTGGGATGCACGGCCGCACTCCTAAACTTGTGTTTAAAAAAGCCGGACGGAAGAGCTTGGATAAAGGGCTGCTTTCCCTGGAAGATGGCAGCGATGGACAGAAACTCTTGCACCAGAAAACGGACTCCATGGATCACGTGGAAGGATCAAGTTTGGATAATATAAGCATGCTGCAGGGAACAGGGGGTAACAAGCAGGGTCCCACCTCCACCAGCAACTATGACGACGCAATGCAGTTTGTCAAAAAGAGGCGTTACCTCCATGCAGTGAACAGTGACTTCGGGGCAGGGACACTGCACATGGCCTCGCAAGCAGGCGGTGTCATCCAGGGCTCTCTGGGATCTGAGCCTACACTGGCCATGCTGGACTCGCCTCTCGAGCTCAAGCATGACAAGTCAGGCATTCCAGATGAGGTCCTGCAGAGCCTGTTGGATCATTATAGCCAAAAGTCTGATGCAACGCACCATCATGATGTGACTTTCGACCTGTCAGACCATCCTCACCACGTCGACCTTCAGCCCGCTGCTCCAGTTACACCTGAGCTGGAGGACGATGTGACAAATGGAGGCGATAAGACCGCTGTAATGAGTGAATATTCCAAGTTCCTCCTGCAGGCCCTAGAACGCACCAGTCACAGTGGGCCTTTCCCCAGCTTGGGCTCCTCAGGGCCTTTCCCCTTGTTGTCTACTGGCTCCAGTCCTACCGGCCCTCTATTTTCAGACAAGCACATATACGCCACATCCCCTCTAGACTGTTATCCTGCTGCTGTATCCTCACCACTGACTATAGCCCCACCTTCCACTTCTTCCTCGTCATCCTCAAAGTCTCATTACGTCATGTTATCGTCCCAGGACAACTACCATCTCAGCCTGGACTCTAGTAGCCACCAGCAGTTGACGCCGTCTCAGGAGCTGACTGATCAGCTGGATAAACAGCACTCCCCTGGCGCCTTCGACCTGACAGCTACAGCAGAGAGCACCAAGAGCCAAGCATCTAAACCAGGGGCCAGCACTGCACCCAGCAACGGCTCCAGCTTCTCGGAGCTGTCTCAACTCAACGCCCAAAAAGAAACCACCTACCAGATCGAGAACTTTGCCCAGGCCTTTGGATCACAGTTCAAGTCGGGGCGGAGGACCCCTCTGAACTACGGGAGCGACCCAAGCACAGAGGTAGATCCTCGATTACGGACTTCAGAATTCTCAGGGTACAGCAGTTTGTTAGCTGATGTTAGCGAGCCAGTCAGTACAGGATCAAAAACCCAGACAAGCCAAAGTTTCAGATAAGGGTCAAGAAAGGTCCAACCAGGGTCCTGTAACTGTCCATGTGACCCCTTAACCATCCTTATTCTGTTTTCGTAGCATTTTTTTTAAAACACTGCCATTAAATGTTAATACAAATGACCAGGGAGGGTCTCACATGGCCTCAAATGCAATTTTGAAAAAATATTCTCATTTTTTTATCATGTATTTAGTCACCTAATTTTTAAGATTTGTGATTTTGATATGATCGTAAGCCGTAGACTTAAAATTTTATTTAAAAGATTAGAGGGTAGCTATGAACTTGCATTTGTTTTCTGAACCATTGTGTTTTACCAATCATCATGCCATTGTAAAGTAATAATGTTGATCTTGATAATAACACTTTTGGCAGGGAAAAGCCCAGAAGTCAAATGGCAAAAATTATATATTGTCTGTTACATATTAACTCAGGAAAAAGGTAAATTTGTGTAATAAGACTTTGTATTGAGATGCAATTAGCACAGTTTTTACATGTGTACTTTGACTACAAAGCTTTTTTGTGTGTGTTGGATTTTGAATTTACCAGGTCAAATTACAAGAGTTCACTTTCAGTTGTGTGTATTGTCAAGATTATGGTACTGTTATCATTGTGAAAACCTCTGACTTCTTATTTAGTTTATTTATACTCTGTAAAACTGGTTAATCAAATTAGTGCCGAGTTGACAATACTGTGGTGTATTACGCAACCTATAAATATTCATTAACTGAACATGCAATAATCCACAAACCTTAAACAAGAATCAAACAAGCACTTTTTAAACATATTTCAATTCATTTGGAAATTACATGAACTGAACAATTACATACAGGAATATTATGCTGATGATTTTAAAAGGAAAAAAACTGTGAATGGGTTTGGATGATGTGGGAGGGTCTCGGGAGGATGGGGTTCTAGGGCATTGCGCAAAGAGGGTTGATGGTGTCAACGCATGACCATGGGGATTTAAATGTATTTTGTTTGACATGGTATGGAGGTAGGGTATGTGGGTGGGATTTGTTTTTTGTTTTTTTACGGAACTATCGGGTTGTAAAGATAATTTGCCATAATTTTGTTATACAATATTTGAAAAGTACCTCTTTGTATTAAGGTTTTTTATGAGTCAGCCTGACATGCTGGATCCCTTGATGAATTTCAATCCGATCGTATATGTATTAAAACCTTTATTTATTTACCACAACAGATCTCAGAGACAGTTTTGGCGCATCAGCAGATCTGAAGACATGTTCCTCCTACTTTTACCTTTCAAAAGCTTGCAAGACGCTACTTTAGTAGCTTAGAAAACTTGAGCATTTCCCCTACCCAAATTGTACCCCTCCTAAGAATGAACAATGGCCTTCTTTGTCTTCCACGGCTGAAGCCACTCCATCTGCGCAGCCAGGGCTGATATTTAATTTAGTCTATATTTCCTGTGAGCGTTTCCTCAAACTTCCCAGGCTCACTTCTGTTAGCACAACCAAGAGACTTTGAAGCTGCTTAGATCACAGGGAACAATGACTGACCAGCCACTCTGCACCGACACTATGCTTCTGAAAAGAGAATCAATGATAAGATTGACCTTAATATACCTCATATCACTAAAGCGTACGAAGCAGGGACATGCATTTCATGTATTTAGTGGACATATTTGTAGTCTAGATTTAAAATATTGTATCATTCTTTTAACACAGCTTGTGTTTACATCTATAGAACAACAGCTCCGCAAAGGTATTATTTCTTTTTATGTAAAAAAAAAAAAAAAAGATTAAAAAAACGTTGACGCTAAGCAGTGTTGCATCTAGATGCTTCATAGAACAGTCATTTTTTGTCTCATGTTATATCCCTTATTTTTATTGCCATAATGTGTTTTTGTATGATCTCTAGAAGGCTATTGTTTACAAAAATGTACAAAAACACTAAAAGAGTGTCAAGTTTTGAGTTTCTCCAGTATGCATGATTAAGACATTTTTGTATGGCTTTTTCTGACTTGTTGCCTCAATACCAAATTTTGTAGCAGACGTCACTTAGTTCTGTTTTCACTCCCTGTGATACGATTTCCCAGGCTTTACTTGTTATTGAGAAGATGAACAATTAGAGAAGCCAATAAACTTTTTGTTACAAAGTGTGTTGTTATGTACTTGTGTCCATTTGTCTTAAAATGCTATTACCTGGTGATGCATCTACAGCATGTCGGTTTTTTAATGCTTCACCCTTCCCCTTACCTCCACCACACTGATTATAAATTGACAAAAATTCCCTAAATTAGGTTTGAACGGTGTCTTTAAATTTCAGCTCAATTCTTTTGTAGTTAGGGTATTTTTTAACAGCTGTGGCGGGTGGTTTATTTCTGAGAGTCGAAGTTCTGTCAAAGTGATGATAATAATCACACATAATTATATTCTGTGGAAATGTTATTCTGTAAAATAACCTTTGCAGGACTGAGGTGGCAGCAAAGAAAAGAATGGAACAGGACAATACAGGCCCCATGTTTCCTCCATGAGATTGAAATGTGCGTGAGACAAGGAAAGAGAAAGAAAGAGCTTGTCATTTACAGGCTTAACTTTGTTAACCGTTTTATTTGCATTGGTTGTTCATGAGACTATAGTTCCTGCTTGTGATAAAGATCCACTTGGGCAGACTCCAAGAACAGTGTAGGTTTGGTTGTGACTTTGGACCTAAAGCCACAGCAGCCGCCCTGTCATTATGTTGACACGACATGTGCCCGGGATCATAAAACCCTTCAGATAATGGAAATAGCATAGCAACATTTATACACACCACTGGGAGGAAAACAACATTGGATTACATTTTGAAAAATGGCTAGAATACAAAGATACAGTGGTCATGATTTTCTTAAAAAAAAAAAATCTAAATACGATTTGAAAAGCTGAGTTAAAATGTTAAACAGGAGAGAAACGTTGAAAGTTGGAATGATACAGTCAGGATTCAGATTAATGTTTAATATTCATATTGACCAGGTGATCTTTTTAATCAATATAAATGTAATATTTAAATTATATGATAAGAGAACCTTTATTCATACCACAGTGGGGAAATGTTGTACATACAGGACCGAAGTAAGAGCACACAGGGAGCACGCAAAATACACAGTATACATGAAAACAATCCAAGATGCAACACATGCCATTATTCTTTCACTCCATACACAGTCATGATAAACTACTACTGTAACCACAGCTGCCCTGGGGCACACTGACAAAAGTGTATGTGTATATGTGCCATCATCCCCTCTGACCATCACCAGCCATTTACACACACACCAGACTCATTCTAGGCAATGTGGGTGAAGAGTCTTACCTAAGGACACAACAAAAGTCACTTCATTGTGGCACCTGGTGATTCCAGAGGTCTCCCATCATAGTACTAACCAACCCTTGCCCTGCTTAGCTTCATAGGTGTGACAGGATCTGGGTTTCACGTGCAGATACGGCAACACATTTAAAATCGTGCAAACAGTAAACTCAAAGGACACTAAACCTTTATCTGAAGGTCTTCAAGATATTCAGAAAGTGTATTCAAAGTATAGTAACAAAACCTAGGTTATTTGTAGAGTACTTCACGTGTGCCAAAAAAATACTTAATACACTGTACTTGTACATGGGATTTTTCACAACCTGCTTGTTTCCATGGAGACAAATTTGCTTTGCCTGGAATATTCACCATCATAAACTTGTCTAATTTGTTTGGGCAACACCATTATTGAATGGAATAATACGGGTCAAACTCAGGCCCATGGGCCAAAACCGGCCCGCAAGACCATTTCCAGTTGTCCCTGAAATTATGTTCAATTATTATGGTAAGTTATAGCATTGGTGGTAATAGACTACAATGGCTTGTTGTACCTCTTTTTAAAGCCAATGTTCTCACCAGGTCTTACATTTTTTAATTGGCTCTCAACCAAAATGAGTCTGAAACCCCTGTGTTAAATGAAGGAAAGAATTTGTGGAACACCCCAGGAAATTTAGATCCCAACCACAATATAGAAATGTGTCTTTAATTAAATTGAGTGGATGTTAAATGTATGTGACAAGCAAGAAAAAGTTCACACACAATAACCATATTTTGTGTTATCATTTCTGTATCTCTATTTCCTTGTGCGCTCTCTATTACGTCAATTTTTCCGATATAAAAATGGGATCGAAGTCAACAGAGATAACAGCTTTAATAGTTCTGATGTAACTATTTTAAAGGTGTGCGACATTGAAGAAATATTTCACATTTCGCAGGACTGTGCAAAAACACTTGTACATGTTCTAGTTGGTAAGTAATCAACACACAAGTCAAATCATACACAGAACACACTATCATTCTTTCCAGCTCTAGTTGTGGGGGGATCGATGTGGTAAAGGCTTAAAATGGTTGATATTCTTTCCCATTATGTTAGATATTGTCCAAACACTTTCCATTGGAGCTTTTTGGACGTCGTTTGGTGAAAAGCTGCCTAGTTATATGAGGAAGTGTGCGTGTGTCTAAATGGCCTCCAGATTTAACAGTCTGGGAGGGGTTGAGCCATAAAGCAATACTTTGGCCTGGATCATTGCTTTCGTATCTTATTATGGTACACTTTGTTTTATTGTTTACCATCACTGATATGAAAAAAAAAAAGACTACACTGTCAGGTTGCCTCTAAATCCGCTCTTTGAATCTAATGGACTTAAAGGAAATTGTAATTAAATATACCGTATGTGCTCCTTAAAGTCATACTGTAAATACATGTAGCCTACAAGTAAATATTGTATTGAATGGCCGCACCTTTGTGACCTGTGAACTTCGAACAGGCACAGCTTAGAGGAGTGGCTAATGATTAAAACAGACGAATCTCAGACAACACCTCAATCATCACTGGAAAGTTGTGAGGGGCCACTTGTCGCAGTGCTGAGATTGATATATATCTCAGAATGGGGCTGAAACTCCTTCTCTGCCTGCTTTTTGTAGTTACGGGTAAGTAGATCTTTTAAGTTGATAAAGTCAGATGATTTTTATTTTTATTTTCTCAGGATAAATCAGGGTAATTGGTTTAAAAAACGCATTTGATTGTGGATTATGTCTTTTGATACTCTTGGCGAAATCGGTATTCAAAGTTTACTGAATCAGTGTTTTGGCTTTGTACAATAACAAATGTCGGTAAGATCAGAATCCAAATCTCTTTTTTACCACAATATGAAAGCAAATCAAACTCTATTTCAATCCAAAAGTACTTATAAATGCTCTTTTAAAATTATATTCCTACGTTTTTATGAGGCAATGAGATGTTATATTTGAAATTGTATTGAGACTGTCCATCTATGTCCTGTTTATGTAATTATTTCCGGTATTGATACTTACTCAAATTAGTGTCTAGTTTCGATTCAAGCTTTGGTACTCAATACTTTTGATGAAGCTATTTCTAAAGAATAAATGTTGTTTAAATGTACCACAAAATTATGAATGGAAATAGACACACTTCAAGTTTTTGGATAAGATCAAGTCAAGTGTGTGTAAATGCAAGCCCACTCACTGTCAGGAAGATGCATGTCTTTTAATACTTTTTTTTTCAGTTCCATGAAAACGGTTTTGTTGCAACTTTTGTTTTTAGTCTTGGGTGAGAGACAGTCTTTTATCTCTTAACCCCTGCAATCACACACATAATTCATTCATTTCTGGCTAGTTCAATTAGAGAGACCACATCACCCCTGTCCTAAAACCACTCCAATGGTTCCTTACCACATCCAATACAAGGTCCTCCTCCTCACCTTCAAGTCCCTCCATACCTCCCAACCTCCTCACTACCTTCAGGATTTAACACCAAAACCCAGGGGGGCCGATCCCTCTGAACCTTTGCCGAACCTCCCACAACCCATCAGCAACTCCCACTCACTACAGAACTTTAAATCACTTCTCAAGGCCACCAGTTTAATCTTGCCTTTCCTAATTTTGATACGTTTATCTTTTATATTGTATGTCTTTGAGTGTCGAAAAATCTCTATATAAGTCTAATTGTTATTATTATAATTGAATTTATATTCTAGAATATTTCCAATTTATTCCGTTTCGCTTTACTTTTTCCTTCTTTTGTCTCCTACCTTTGTTACAGAGCAAACATTCTATTTCTTCCATATAAATCTAAATCATGCGAATCAAGTGCAGAGGCGTCAGATTGTTATGTCACAACTTCAGCTGCAATCATTTGTTTTTTATGCAGTTGTTTCAGTGGACCAAGTAACAACAACAGCAACAACAACCGCACCACCACCACCACCACCAACAGCAACAACAACAACAACCACACCAACAACAACAACAACAACAACAACAACCACACCAACAACAACAACTGTACCAGCAACAACAACAACCAAAGCACCAGACGGAGGAAACACAACAACAACCAAAGCACCAGACGGAGGAAACACAACAACAACCAAAGCACCAGACGGAGGAAACACAACAACAACCAAACCACCAGCAACAACAACTGCAAAGCCAGGTATTTGTCTAAGATCTAATAACTGTCTAAGTCCTCAGAGGGACAGGAACTAAATATCTCTCCATTAAGAACCATGTAAAATTTAACTAAATCAGATTCAAAATTCTTCGTTTCTATATATATTTATCTAACGGGTGTCGATTTTTTGAAAAATGCCATAAAAAAACACCTCTGTGTAGAGTGAGAGACAAATGCCCACAATTGTAAACCGCTTTGTGACTCTTACTTACTTACTTACTTAAATATTACTTAAAAAGGAAGAGAAGAAATGCATTAGCCTGTGTAGCATCTGCCACAAACACACTTTGGAATCTTCACTTTTCTGACTTTCATAGAAACAATGCAGTCTTTTGTGTGGTATACGTTTGTAGTAACCAAGGCAACAAGCAGAAAGAACTGTTAAATACATTTTTAAAGGACAGAGGTTGTCTCAAACCAACATGTTCTAATATGGGAGGCTGAATAATCTAAGTCTTCAAACATAGAGTCTAGTTCTCATCAAGCAATTATGTTTAAAGAGTTATTTTTTAACGTTATTTCCACGACTGGGACTGTTAGGACCCGGGTAATGTCTAAAGTAGTATCCGAGCTCTGTGCAGCAAGGGTTGGCTGTGTTCATTGCAGACACACACACACATACATAAACAGATGCACTGACACACACACATACACATACTGACACACCCAGACACAGATACACGCTGACACACACCCTTACACACACACACATACACCCTGACACACGCACACTGATACACGCACACACACATACACGCTGACACACTCTGACACACGCATACACACACACATACATAAACAGATGCACTGACACACACATTGACACACACACATACACATACTGACACACCCAGACACAGATACACGCTGACACACACCCTTACACACATACACATACACCCTGACACACGCACACTGACACACGCACGCACACACACATACACGCTGACACACTCTGACACACGCACACTGACACATACACACTGATACACACACACACACACTAAAGCAAAGTATCACAAGCTCACAATACCGTTTATAACTCTGTGCTGTTATAAAACGTTTTTTCGTGAACTACAAAATAATATAAATAACAATCGCCTTGTCTTCACTGTACAACAACCTGGTACCTGTCCGTCTCACAATCCAATCCAAAAGTAGCACATTTAAACATACCGATTTATGGATGTAAAAAATAAAAATGTGAAGTAAAAGTAACTCATAAATGTCTTCTTGTTGTATTCTCAAAGCATTTTTACTTTCTCTTTTGCAGACGCTTGCTTGTCAAGTCCGTGTAAAGGAGGAAGCACGTGTGTGAAAAGAGGAGATGGTTTTGAGTGCTTGTGTCTGACTGGAGACATCTATAATAATGGAGCATGTGTGCCTGGTATGTATTCAACAACTCTATCCAAATGATCAAACACGCATTATTAACTTTTCTGCCGTTGTAGCAAAGGTTTTTCCTGGGGAGTTAACCTTCCCAGGGACATATAAAAAGGAGATGGAAGACCCAACATCAGCTGAATTTAAAGGAGTTGCAGATGATATTGTTAAAAAGGTAAATATACCAATTCTACAATACGTGTTTTTTTGTTTTTTATACAAATCCTTACATGAATTTCAAACATGGACTTTTGATGGCTTACATTGAGTTTTATCTTAAGTCACTGTGTCTGGTTTAGCAATTAAACTGACGTCAAGCAAAGGCAAAACCGTCTGACGTAGTTTAATCATGAATGGACTTACACTAAACAAAAAAGCAACTTCAAATTAAAGCTGGGTTTCCTGACTTCAAACCACTATCTTATTTTATTCTTTATCTTAATTTTATTGTCTATTATCTTAAATAATAGACTCAATTTGATGTGTGCAATCTGAGTGCTCTTATTTCCTTTCTCTGCTGTAATGTGCGCAACGATGACACTGAAATTTCTCCGCTGTGAGACGAATAAAGGTTTATCTTATCTTATCTTTATCTTATCTTTAACTATGCAATAAACCGCCTCTCTAGTTTTCACGTGCATGTAATCTTTGACCACATCTTTGGATCAGCTTTTTCAGACAGATAAAAATAAATAATACAAGTTTGAAATAGTAAAGCACTGGGCACTTTGAGTATGCAAACCATAACATGTTTATTTAAATAACACAAAGACGGTGTGTTGAGGTCTGATATGTTCTTGACATTTACTTTTACAAAACTCTTCTGTTGAGACAAGAAACACGTGTTGTGCAGGAAACAGAAAATTTAGGTACCCCAGCTTTAAACAACACATATGTTTAAGGATGAATGTGACACTGAGAAAGCAGATTATTAAGACATGTTTAAATAGTCTAGTTAATTATGCTGTTGTGTTTATTAGATTAACATGTGGTCTTGAAGGCTTTCCACTCACTTGACTGAAGCTAAATGAAGTAGAAATCTCTTTTTTTCTCATTGAATCTAGATAGCGGCAGATTATAAAGATAAACCTAAAGCTGTTTATCTTGGCTCTACTGTGACTAAACTCAGGTTTGGAACATGTTTCAGTTTCATTCAGTTGATGATATGATTTTTTTTTGTGATGGTCTGATTATATTTGGTTTTATCTTTCTTAGCGATAAAGCAACGGCAAAAAATATCATGACGAGAACAGGGAATATCTTCGCTACAGTCGACATAAAGTTTGATCAAACATCTCCAGTGAAAGCAGAGGAGGTGAAAGAAGCTGTAGGAGGGTTTACAGGTAAATATAAAATGATACATAAAAAACAATATTCTTCATTTTTCTTGCTGCAACAGACTGTACATGTTATCGCAAATAGCTCAAAAACATGTTATTTTAGTCGACTCGTCAAACAGTTTTGTTTTTTGTAAATTAAACTTTTAAAAACAAAGACCTTGTAGCTGAGCCTGCATATTTACTCCACTTTCTTGTCCACTTATGTATAGCTCTACACCTGTTGGAGAAATAGATGTGCAAAGCTTTCTTTTTATGTCAAAATGAGGTTTTGACTGAGAGCGAGAGAGAACATTTGCAAATAATTACCTTGTATTCACATTTAACTGTCTGTACTTATTCAAAAAGTCATCCTTCTAATAATATGTCCTTTTTTTGTCGCACAGGAATAGATTTATGTAGTAAGAGTCCATGCGATGACACTGCTGAATGTGACGATGGAACAGAAGGAAGATTCGTCTGTAAATGCAAAAAAGAGTACATTAAAACAAATTTCAGTGACCGCGTCTGTGTGGGTAAGTCCACTCTGCACGTCCCCATTCACACACAAGGGGCCTCCGTAATATTAAGAGAATTGTTTTATTTTGTAGCCTGTCAAAAAGGTAAGAAAGCAGTGGAGGGCGTCTGTGTTGGGTAAGTAAATTTAACATTATGATTAAATGAGACTCAATAGTAGTGTGGACGTTTATTATTTCACTGTCTTTTTTAGGTGTGATTTTGGATACTCGGGTTTCAACTGTGAGGACGGTAAGTGATTGGAAACCGCAAAGACCAAACGTTTAGGAAAAATGTAGAGTATCAATACATGTGTGTTTGTGGTTCCTAGATTGGCAGTTGATTCTTGTGATAGTTGGTACTATCTTTGGCGCGCTCCTAGTGGTCACGACAACTCTTATACCAGTCGTGGCTTTGAAGTAAGTATTTGTTTATGCATTTCTTGTTTAATAACTGCTCAAAACTGGTGAATAAAGCTGAAATACAGGGGAAAAAAACAGTTGAAAAGTTACCAAATGCTAACTGCTAGCAATTAAACACGGTGATGCCGTGGTAACTAGCACTGGCTTTGTTCTGGTAGGAAACCAAGCCGACATTTCACCTTGGAGAAGCTACTTATATTTCAAAAGTAAAAGATAATTTCACAAAAAGACTGACATAGAAATAAACTACAACTACATACAGACACAGATGTACCAGAAATGTACATGCGCCCAGTAATTACGCTTTCAAAACTAAAAGCCGTCAAATCGACTGCTCTCTGAGTTCTAGTGTTAAAGTTGGGGTACCTAACTTTCAAATACAAAAAAAGGTGGATTATAATAAAAAATCCAAGACTTTCTCTGTCTCAAACTCGCTCCCAGAACGGTTTGCATTTATTTTTGACCTCTGTCACATCTTTACATTCGCATTTTCAGACAGAAGAGTGAAAAAGAGAGGACCACCCTTCCTAAGCCAATCAGCTCACAGCCCAAAGTGTCAAATAGTGACTCAAGAGGCTCTTTTATTTTCATAATAGGATGAAGACCGCATGCTGTTGTCATCGGATATGTTCACAGTGTTATGTTGTTTGTCCAAATTATTTCCGCTGAAACAAAAAAAACACAAAAAATCTTATAAAAATACAAATTAAAATATTTTAGGACTAATTTTTGATTCATTAATATACTGTATAAACAATATTTTCAAGGAACCTTTACATTTGAGAGAAGACAGATACATGATACGGGTGACAGTAGCTCAGTTGGTAGAGCATTGGCCTTCAGGCCTGAAGGTCATGGGTTCAATTCCCACCTCTACACCTTCTCCACCGACTCCCACTGATGACTGCTGTCGTTGTGTCCTTGGACAAGACACTTAACCCCACTTTGCCCAAAGCCCCCACTGAAAGATCAAGGCTATGCTCACACTCAGAGAGCAGCCGTCCTCCTGTGGACTCACCACCTGCAGAGGGTCAGTGAGGGGCTGGTGCTATGAGACTTGGGTGGCATCTCTGATTGCCACCCCCCTGACCCAGAAATGGATTAAAGGGTAGAAAATGGATGGATAGAACTCCCACTTAATGTTTACTTTCATCTTTAACATCATTACTTCTTGCTCAAATCTTTTTACAATACTTTGTTGACTTCTGGTACTACTCAATTTCCCCATACCCTTAGGAAACACATTCAAACTATAAGTCCAGCTATGCGTCTCTATATAAAGAGTATAAAAGCGTACTTCTTAGCAGGTTTTCCAGTACAGATGATGGGTGACTAATCCTGACTGATCTCTTAAGGGCAAAGAAGAAATCCAAGAAGGGGAAAGCGGATAATGTTGAAAAGTTGTATCAGAATCCTGCCCACATAAAGCCGGCGCAGACCAACGGCTCTGCATTGCCGCGCCCCATCCCGCTCCAGACCGCTCCAGGGGGGGGCAGACCTGGATTCGGGGGGAACAACGTGCCCAGGATTCCACGAGCTACCGCCAATGAGAGCTGGGATAGCGGGAACCTGGACAGGGGCCGGCAGAATCTTATCCCTGGAAGAAACTCTGTAAGTCACTCCCCAAACCTACAGAAACCACATTTTCAGATTGATAATTCAAATTTTGCAGCGTAATTTAGAGACACTGCCGACCTGACCTCACATGTCAAGTAGTTCTGCACGATATTGGAAATTAGAGTGATATTTGATATGAGTGTTTAGTATTTCGATAACAATATTATTGCAATATTTTTGTCTTTCACCTAAAATTGCAATAAGCACAACATTAATGACATTCAAATGCATATAATTATATACTTTTTAGTTTGTTTGTTGTTCTTGTTGAATGTTGATCTGTCTGTTTTGTTATATCGTTTTTTAATTACAAATTATTGTAATTAATATATTTTTTCTATATATCGTGCAGCCCTAATGTCAAGCATCGGTGCAATATTTTCAACTAATGTCAGAAAGTGCAATGTAGAACCACATGTGTCCACTGTTGCTCAACTTAGTCACTTTGTCCCAGACCCTCTTGCTGCAGACATGTACAGTATATATACTGTACATACAACTATATATTACTTTGACTAAAATTCAGCCCTTTTCACTTGCTTCTTATTATGCCAAAAGTAAAGATTTTTTACTTTTTATTCAAGAAAAATTGTGCTCATTATGCTTAAGATGGAGATTTTATACTTGTTTCTTCTTCATGCTAGAGTTAGAGATTTTATTCCATATTATTTAGTAAAGAGTTATTCTTCATTTCTCTTGTGCTGTGTGCTCCTCGTTCCTACTGTTCTGTAACTTGTGATGCAACACTGAAATTTCTACACTGTGGGACAAATAAAGGATCTCTTAATCTTAATCAAAGCATCAATTCAAAGTGAGTCCTTGGGTGATTTAATTTAGTCAAGAGGAATAATGTTGGTTCTTCTATGAATACCTCTGTGATCGTACTCATCTATGAACACAATCAACTAAAGGACTGTTTGTATTTCTGTCTGTTTTGTGTCCAGGTTATAATCTTTTTCTTCTGACCATGTTTATAAGCAGTAAAACAACTCGTTACTTACTTTCTCTCATTCAAAGCATAGCGAGTAATTAGACCTCGGTGCTAGATTTGCACGAAAGCTATTAATTGATAAATGAAATATCTGTATATTTTAGTTAATTTTTCAACAGTCCTGTGCTATAAATGCTGTGGTTTTCTCTTGCAGCGTCAGTTTGAGGATCAGGACTCAAACCCGTACAGCCGCCCTGTGAAGTCCCAGAACCCGTACTCAGGGGGCCAACCTCAGACCAACCCCTACGCCTCTAACCAGGGCCACAGCAACCCATACTTCAGGAACGACGAAGGAAGACGCTACTGAACCAGTGTTCGCATGATTTCTGTTCTGAGATACAATAACTAATGAAAAGTTGGATTTTATGAGAATAGTAAACCTTGTTCTGTGCAATAATTTCATTTAATTCCCTTTTGCACTGCTTATATACTGTTTATTACAAATCATGTTAACATTCACTCCATCTGTAAATGTTGTATTATTTGTGCACGCTTTTTTCCATAAAAGATTTTACTATATTAATGGTCATTGTATGTCCTAAATAAACATAGCTGTAAACAGTTTTGTTTTTAGCACTTAGCATTTTCTCCAAGATATCACCATAACTTGGATTCTGAAGTATGTGTAAAATATCCACACGGGGGCGCCAAACCTTACGAGATGATCTTATTTTTGTTGAAAGTAAGGGAAAGGTACTCCATGTGTGCAGAATCAGATACATGCAAGGGCATAATAAAGGAAATACATTGTTATAACTAATCATTACAGTTCATATGCTCAATACTTCAAAGGCATGACTAAAGAAATGACAAAAAATAAAATAAAGTCATAGTTGAGGCCTGAGGCCAGCTGTATGATCTGACATCTTCATGACACTTTCCTTCAGTCGTTTTTTTGCTTTTTACGAGCTGCAAATGCCTCTTCATGTGTAAGCTCAATCAAAGCATTCATCGCAAATACAGAAGAGATAAATCCTTAATTAAACACAAACACATATATATTTTTGACTCTTTTTTTCAAACACTTCTCCTGTCTTTCAAATGAGCTGACCAGCACCATTAGACTTTTGGGAGTGGGGAGGGGATGTCGGGGATTTCTTTATGACGACCTATGAAATATTTAACATTATCTTTATTGATTGTTGTTTTTTGATATATGTTGTGTAAACTAATAAATTATTAAATTAATAATTGTCTTTTATAAATCCTTATTTATGCCATAAAATGATGATCCAATGAATATACAATTTCGATAAAAGCGACACCATTAAAAAAATACCAACTCAAGAACTTAACTGTTCTTTTCTCAAACTGCAGTAAATGTAAGCCAGTCAGAACATGCTCTAGTATAAACTAAAGCAGTATTCAGGTCAGTATTGACACACACATGTTGAAATCTAAACTGCTGTACTACTATAATGTACTATTGTCAATAACACACACAACTACAACATCTACAGTCGCTCTTCACAAAGTATGGAGTGCCACGAACATCCTGATTGATAAACTAAACATCTTATCATCATTACCTTAATATGTCTCTTCTTTTCCATTTAAACCAAAATACAAACATGATTTAACTGATTTAAGTTTAAAATCATAATAGCAATAATAACGCATTGGTTTATAGAACATTTTGTAACAAAAGCAAACGAAAGATCAGTCCCCTGACCACCATCACACACACACACATACACACACACACACACAAACACACACAAACACACACACAGAGGAAATGTGCGGTGTCTTGCCCAAAGACACAACAGCAGTTTGGCACTGTGGCACGTTGTTTGTCCCAGAGGTCTCCCATCACAGTACTAACCAGGCCCTGCCCTGACCCTAACAGTTGCCTTTCACCTGCTCAAAATCAGTATTTATGTGGTGATTCTAACCAAATATTTGTGAATTTAATCTAAAACTCATCTGATACTGCAGTAGATTTAAGAACTGAATAAAAAGCAAGATTGTGTTTGCCAGAAGTAGAATGTTATCATTTACGAAACTAAACTTTGGGTCAACCTGGGGACCGACCGGGTCGCCACGCCTCCAGACCATAATCACTATTACACAAATGGCTTTAGTCTTGCTGATGTGGACAAAATGGAAGCTTATAAAAGTTAATCTTAGTTGAAATTTATGTAAACGAGGCATGACTTCCCTGTGATGTGACTGGAGGAGCAGCGGGCATCTGTATCTCTGGATCATTGACGTGTGAAGGCCAGGTCTGAGCTCTGCAGCTGAGGACAGATGAGCACAATATGGAACTAAAGGCTCTTTATCTTCTACCTCTACTAGTCATCCTCCAAAACAGCCAGGCCACTCAAGGTAAGGGGGAAACTAGTTTGTTAATTGATTATTGCAGAGATATTATTCATGGGTAAAAGAAAATTGCCTGCTCTTCGTGACTCCTGACCAGTTTGAGGTCAAATCGAGAAGAGAAGATACATTTTCCCAACGTGGCGCCCATTGAGACGACTGTTGTTGTGATTTAGGTGCTACTTATAATTATTACAGATATACATTTCCCTTTAATGTCCAATATGTGTAAACTTTATTGATCTCAGAATGGACAAATATACAATGTGTAATTTTGCTATTTTAAAATGTAAAGCCCAATTCTCCAAACTATAGATTTTCAAATCTTGGAAATAGATTTTAATGACTCAAGTTCACATGACAGGGTTCAATCACGGAGGGAATTTACAGGTTTGGTCACATGCTGCACAGTTCAGAGGGAGCGCACGGCCATCATAAACACTCAGTTAAATAGTAAAACATGTTACAAGAACTTGAACAAGACTTAAAAGTATCTCCAGTGCCTTGTTCTGTAACCCTTTGATAATGTATAATGATTAGGTCTTTGAATGCTCTTCCTGAATTTCTCCTACGGGGGATCAAAAAAGTATCTATCTATTTATGCCCCTGTATCTATCATGAATGTAGCCCAATTTAACATTACTCTTCCATGTTTATATAATAATAACAGTCCTATAAAATTGTCCTAATAGTCCTGTTTAAAAAAAATACTAAAAGATGAAGTGTTTGTTTTCAGGGGCTTGTAACAGTGGTCAGTTCCAATGCAACAATGGACAATGCATCAACAGTGAGTGGAGATGTGACGGGACAAAAGACTGCACAGATGACTCCGATGAGCTGAACTGCCGTGAGTAGGACAAGTCAAAATAATGTGTGGGAAGAATGTGGAGCATGGGGAATAAACATGGAACTCAGATACTGACTTGTAAACATGGTGTCTTAGCTCCTCCAGCCTGCACCTCCCAGGAGTTCAAATGTGTGACCAGCGGAGAGTGCATCTCAATAGGATTCGTCTGTGATGGAGAAGTAGACTGTTCTGATGGCTCTGATGAACAAAGAACATGTGGTAAGCAGTACACAGTAGGGGTGGGAATTAGCAAAACTGTGATGATTCGATAGTAATGCAATATTTGGGCCACAATTCAACATTATTGCGATTCTTAACATAAAGTGATATGGCAAGTATTGTGATTCAATCCCGCGATAAGACTTTTTTTTTTTTAAAGACATTTATTATGGTCTGCACATTAACTGATTCACTGAAGTGCAAACACAGCAGGGTAGAGCAAAAACTTTATTTTTGAACATTCAGGACACAGGACCTTATTACAGGACAATACATTATTATTCTCTCATGCACGAAAACAAAGCACCACAACAAGCACCACCTTAATACGCAAATGTAAATAACCCGAGTAAAATCAGAGAAAACTGGAAAGTGAAAACAGATAATTATTTAATACAATATCACAATACTTTGCTCTACTGTACTGATTTAATTGCATGCTCAAAATATCACGATACTAAACAGAATACAAGGCGACTATAGCTCAGTTGGTATCCACCACAAAACCTACTTCACGACTTCCACTGATGACTGCTGCCGTTGTGTCCTTGGGCAAGACACTTAACCCCACTTTGACTGAAGCCCCTGCTGAATAATCAAGGCTCCTGTGGACTCACCACTTGCAGGAGGATCAGTGAGGGGCTGGTGTTAAGTGTACTTGGTGCAGCTCTGACTGCCACCCCCTCGACCCAGAAATGGATTAAGGGAAAAATGGATGGATGGATGGTTAGATAGATGGATGAACAGAACACGTTTTTCCCCACCACTGCTATCGTTGTCTGGAGATATAGAGGATTCACTATGACTGCCCTGTTGTCAATTTACCTGGAAAATTTTTTGGATACATCATTGTCAAAGTTGCACAATACAGGATTTGTGACAAGATGATGTTATTTTTACATCAACTCCACTCAGATATAATTTTTGTTTACTATAACTGTGTTTATTCTGTCAATTAAAAAAACGTGTTGCAGTCTTTTCAGATTAATTAGAAAGATTTGTAATACATTCATTTTCCAATACATTTTGTGACCTTAGGGTTTTTGTATTGCTTTAATGAAAACTCGTTCAGTAAATGCTAGTGTTATTCCACCACTGTGCAGGTCTAAATTAGTGTGCCTAGACTTTGAGATGGTGTGCCTTCAGTGTGAGAAGATTAGAAAGACCTTTTTAAGCTTGTTTCATTCTCTTAATAAAACATGTGGATGAGAATGACTTTGCTTTGTTGATAAAGGCTGCAGAGCTTCCAGTAACACAGCTGCTGGTGTGCCATGTGATAGTTTTAAATGAGAGGTGTGTCACAGCGACAATAAAAGGTTCAGTTCAAAATGGTACAGTATAGGACTTTGAAAACAATTAGCTAAACTTATCTATTTCTCTATTCTCATGGTGTTCGTATGATTTCAATTTGCATGTATTTTGAACACATTTAATGCTGCTTTTTAGAGCAATTTAGCATATATGGTTATTGTAGTGTATTTAATAAGACTCGGACAGTGATCACATTTCGTGACGAACTTTACTTAGCCAACAACCTGTCTGTCAGAGGCAACCAGACAAAGCGCATGCGTAACAAATGGACTATACCAAATCTCCAACAATAGGGGTGAATACACCACATCATCCCCCTTTTAAAATAGGAACAATATTTTTGTATTCAAATTAGTGCAGTAGTAAGCTTGTACATATTAACAATAGAAGTTACCAAATAATCATGCCAATAATCAAATAACAATTATCTGATGTACAACTGAAAACAATAATATCAGAATATGTAGTATTCAATGCTATTTTAACTGATTACTTGCTATTCAAGGTATCTATTTGGTTTTTTGCGAACACGCTCAGAGCGCCTCACAGTCACTGATGGTGGTTCTGGAGGAACTGATGGTTGCACAGGCAAATCCACAGTCGTCTCAACTGGTGTGTCATTTCCGGTATTTTGCATTTCTGCTTCAAAAGTCTCAGTGTCTATATCGGTCTGTTCAGGTGATGCTCTGGCACGGTGCACGTCTGTGCACCGTGTCAGAGTCTCTCTCCTTGACTTGATAAGATACTGGACCAGTTTGTCTCACAACTTGTCCAGGAATCCACTTGTGAGCTCCTCCCGCTGTGTTGCGCAGATACACATACTCATCCATTTCAAAAGTGCGGTTCTCAGCTGAGTAGTCGTGTTGATCTTTTTGTTGATATTGCTTCTTACGAACAGTCTCTTTGGTGTTAGGCTTCAAGAAATCCAGCCGGGTGCGGACGTGTCTGTGAAGAAATAGATCCGCTGGAGACTGACCTGTTGTGCAGTTGGGGGTGGTCCGGTACTGTAGCAAGAACAGCGACAGTTTGTCCTCGATGCTACAGGGCAGGCTGGCAAGTTTTTTCATTCCTGTCTTGAACGTCTGAACATATCTCTCTGCCAGACCATTTGTTGCAGGATGCCCTGGTGCACTAGTTGTGTGCAAGATGCCATTTTGTGTCACAAAGATTTGGAACTCCTCAGATGTGAAAGTAGTTGCATTATCAGTCACTATCTGTTCAGGAAGTCCATATGATGCAAACAGTCTTCTCAACCTCGTTACTGTTGCTTGAGTTGTTATTTGTGACATACGAAAAACTTCCAACCACTTTGTATATGAATCCACGATGATCATAAACATACTGTTCAGAAAAGGTCCTGCAAAATCTATGTGCAGTCTCTTCCAGGACTCACCTGGAAACTCCCATGGGTGGAGTGGTACTTGCTGTGGCATTTTCTGCTCACGTTGGCATATTTCACATTGTTTGCATACTTTTTCAATGTCAAAATCCAGGTTAGGCCACCAAGTATATTTGCGGGCTAGAGCCTTTGACTTCACTATCCCCTGGTGTCCTGAATGTATTTCCAGCAGCACTGCTTTTCTCATTTTTGCAGGTACGATGACTCTGGTTCCCCACAGTACACAGCCTTGCTCTGTGGAGAGTTCATTCCTTTTTGTATAGTAGACCTTTAAATTCTCATCTGTGAGAGCGGGCCAACCTTCCATCACAAACTTGTACACTTTTGACAAATCCGGGTCAGTGCGTGTTGCTCTTGCAATTTGAGTGGCATTTAGCGGCGCTTCATGTAAGTGCTCTGTAAGTAGTGAGTGTACTGTCTCTGAACTCACAGCTGTCCCAACATCACAAGTCTCTGGTAACGGACAGCGTGACAGTCCGTCTGCGTTGCTGTGCTCTGCTGATTTCTTGTAAATAATGTGGTAGTCATACGCTGAAAGTATGATCGCCCATCTTTGAATACGTGCAGCTGCCAGTGTGGGTAGACTTTTGTGCTCACCAAAAAGCGTCAGCAGGGGGCGGTGATCCGTTGCTAGAGTAAAATGTCTACCCCACAGATACTGGTGGAACTTTTTAACACCATAGATCAGTCCCAGAGCTTCTTTCTCTATTTGGGAATACTTCTTTTCAGCTGGAGACAAAGTGCGAGAAGCATAAGCTACGGGCCTCTCTTCCCCATTTGGCATTGTGTGTTGGATGACTGCCCCGATGCCATATGCAGAGGCATCACAAGCTAAAGTGAGCGGTAGATTTGGGTCATAATGTGCCAAGACCTGATCACTTGTTAACACTTCTTTGCATTTGACAAATGCTGCCTGCTCACTCACAGTCCATTTCCAAGTAACATTGTCTCTTAGCAACTTGTACAGCGGAGCAAGTACTGTGCTTTGCATTGGTACAAATCTGCCATAGTAGTTAACAAGTCCCAAAAACGCTTGTAACTCCTTCACATTTGTTGGAGCAGGAGCGTCCTGTATTGCTCTCACCTTGTCTTTTGCTGGGTGGATGCCGTGCTCGTCCAACACGTGTCCCAGGTACTCAATCTGCTCTTTGTCAAACTCACACTTGGAACGTTTCACTCGCAACCCATTTTCCTGTAGACGTTGCAGAACATATTCCAAGTTATCATTGTGCTCCATTTTATTGCGTCCAGTGATTAACAGGTCATCCAGGTAGACAACCACTGGCAAATCCTTCATGATGTTTTCCATAATGCGCTGGAAAATTGAAGGCGCGGAGCTAATTCCAAAAGGAAGCCTATTGTAGACAAATAGTCCCTTGTGCGTGTTGATGGTCGTGTACTTTTTAGACTTCTCATCAACAACACTTGCTGATAAGCTGCTGCAAGATCTATTTTTGAAAAGATTTTACCTCCACTGAGGGTCGCAAGCAGTTCCTCCAGACGTGGCAGCGGGTACGTGTCTGTCTCAATGGCCTGGTTCACTGACACTTTGTAGTCTCCACATAAGCGCAGTGATGTGTCTCTCTTGAGCACTGGCACAATAGGTGCTGCCCACTCACTGTGCTTTACAGGCGAGATTATGTTTGCTTTTTCCAACCTTTTCAGTTCATTTTCAACTTTTTCTTTCATTGCAAATGGGAGTGGCCTGTGTTTGCAAAACTTAGGGGGTACCTCTGGCTTCACGATGATGGAGGCTGTAATGTCCTTGAGAGTGCCCAAGTCGTCCTTGAACACGTCACAGTATTTGTCCAGCAAGTCCTGAATGGTATGTGGCTTTGTCGCTGTCACATATTTGATCAGTTTCCAGTTGAGCTTTAGTTCTCTCAGCCAGTTCCTGCCACAAAGCGATGCTCCATGCCCTTTTACAACCAACAATGGCAGTTCAACTTTTTGCTCTTCGTACCCCACTTTTGTATAAAACTGTCCTAAAACAGGAATGCGCCCTCCATTATAAGCTTTGAGTTTAACTTGAGCTGGCTGTAACGGCACGTGTGAAAACTTCCTCCCATATGTTTCTTGTGAAATCACACTTCTTGCCGCTCCAGTGTCTATTTCCATGTCCAGATTCACCTTGTCAATAGAGAACGTGGCCCTGTACAGCTCATCATCTTCACTACTGACTGTCATTATGGCGAACTCCTCTTGCTCTTCATCCTCGTTTGCTGTCATGTATTTTGTGTCTTTACATTGGAATCTTTTATTTGGTTGTGCATTTTGTGATTTTGTACGACATGCCTTTTTGAGATGTCCAATCTTTCCACAGTTGTGACATTTAGTCTCTTTGAAATGGCACTCGTTTGCATTGTGATTTTTGCCTTTGCATCTGTAGCAAGTTTTGGTTTTGTCCGGTCTCACTTTGTGAATTGCTCCAGCACCGACAAGTTCACTGTCAGCTCCTCTTAGCTGTCGTGTGTCCCTATCTGCAGTTTCCATGTTGAGCGCGATCTCAAAAGCTTTTGCAAATGTGAGTCTATCTTCAGAGAGCAATCTTCTTTGGCACGTTTCATTTTTGATCCCACTGACGAACCTGTCCCGCAATGCAGAATCCAAATTGGCACCGAACTCACAGTTTGTAGCTTGTTGCTTTAGCTCCGCTACATACTGTGCAACAGTCTGATTTTGTTTTTGGTTGCACTTATTAAAACGGAACCTTTCAGCGACTAAAATGGGCTTCGGCTCAAAATGCTCTTTTAAAATCGTCACAATATCTGCAAATGATTTATCTTTGGGCTTGTCAGGCTGCACTAAGTTTCTCAATAGTCCATATGTTGTAGCTCCCATCACACTTAGCAAAACGGCTACGTACTTCCCTTGATCTATGTCGTTAGCATCGAAAAACTGTTCCAGCCGCTCGACGTATGCAGTCCACGGCTCATTTTCTGGCTTGAATTCGTCGACCTTGCCGATTTGGGCCATTGTACTCACTAGTACCGACACCGTGTGCCTGTGTCCCTCCGCAAATTATCCTCGTCGCCAATTGTAGTGTATTTAATAAGACTCGGACAGTGATCACATTTCGTGACGAACTTTACTTAGCCAACAACCTGTCTGTCAGAGGCAACCAGACAAAGCGCATGCGTAACAAATGGACTATACCAAATCTCCAACAATAGGGGTGAATACACCACAGTTATGATCATCCTGCCCCCTGGAACAATGGCTCCGATGTGAATGAATGAAAGTTTATTTGAACATGGAATAAAAACAAAAGAATAAGAACAAAAAACGAACAAAAATATGTGTTTGTTATCATTGCATTTCCCTTTCCCAGTTTGACTCTGTTTTTGAATAATTGACAACTTTATGAAGTCCTCCAAGACAATTGCTGTTGAAATTTAGATCTATATAAACATGAATTGAATTAAATTGCATTAATTGTAATCGTTTTTCGTCGTTTTTTTAACTTACGTTTTCCGTTGGCAGGTGGGCGCACGTGCAGCCCTGAACAGTTCACGTGCCGAGAGGGCCAGTGTGTTCCCGCCAAATACAGGTGCGACCGCGTCAAAGACTGTGTGGACAACTCAGACGAGAACAACTGCAGTAAGTCCTATTCTCACCGTTCTGTCGCTACCAAACACCATAAACTGTCATTATTAGAGACACACACTTCATGCTAACTGCTAACTCTGCGTGCTAACTCCTGCAGACTACCCCCGCTGCACAGAGAAGACCTGTGCTAATGGCGCCTGCTACAACAACTCCCAGCACTGCAATGGGCTCCAGGACTGCAGGGACGGCTCCGACGAGACCAACTGCTGTAAGACACTGGAGAAATAATAATAACCTTGAAATTACTAATACATAATTTAACTCACTGACTGCCAGGCATTTTCAGATTTGAGAAGTGCATTCTGCCAGCAATTTCAGGTGATTTGACCCAACTTTGAAGTGCCACAGAATATTCATTTTTTAGACGATGTAAACACCAAGGGCACCAAATTAAAGATTAACCTCTCTGCTTTACTCTGAAAAAAACAGTTTGTTTCTACCTCTTACCGTTCTTGCGTTATTTGCCATAGAACAAAGCATACTTTCACCCATAACACCTGGTCTGAGCAAGAAAACAGAGAAAACGAGCTGTATGTAAACAGGAACATATCAAGCAGAAAAGAGACTTTTAGATGCATTTTTGCTGCTTTAGTGACAACTCAAAACATCTTCACACTTGTTCCATTACAAAAATTATAAAAACATGACTCTGAAATAATACTTTTGATGGAAAATTGTTGGCAATTTATTCACAGATAGAAAATTTAACTTTCTTCTATACCATCAACCAAAACGTCAAACAACAACAACACAAAGATCAATAAAACTATAGATGTATAAAATAGAATGAAGCATGTGAATTTGAGTGTGTGTGTGTGAATGTCAGTGTGCGAGTGAGTGTCTGTGTGAATGAGTGTCTGTGTGTGTGAATGTCAGTGTGCGAGTGAGTGTCTGTGTGCGTGAGTGAGTGAGTGAGTGCGTGTGAGTGTGTCCGATAAATCATGATCAGGTTCTCTGAACGAATCCGAGGCATCAGTAACAGCAGCAGCTGATACGCTGCGAGAGGCGGAGGGTGTGTCTCTGCTCGGGGCTCTTGCTCCACGCAAATATGGCTGCAAAGACGGACCTCCACCGGGGTCTCCGCTCTCTCCCCTCTCGACCCCACTCACTGATCCGCGAGTAAATCCCTGAAGCAGTGTCAGCTGCTTATAACTATTCTTTTTCGCCATCACTCTTGCTATACTATCGCTAAACTAGATCGCTGATCCGTCTCAATACTACGCTATCATCGCTCTGCTACAGCAGCACGCTGTCCAAAGACCCCACACTCCTCCTCCTTCTCTCCACTGACTTATGACCTCTCCTGTGGTGCAATACTGCATCCTACTGGTGGTGATTTATCATTACAGGTACATTTGCACTATATATCAGTGTTGTGGGTCATTCACAAGGTGCGCCAGACATTACTGCAGCCTCCCGTGTAATAACACGGAAAACTCGTCATACTCGTCATGGGCAGTGAGCGTCACTATTCAACATGACGAGTTTTGTCGTCATGGGCAGTGAATGAGTTAACTTGGACTGGTTTTCAAGGGGCTACAGTAGCTTAGTCGGTGAGTGGTCGTGGGTTCGATCCCTAGACCTAGCTACTACAACTAGTCCCACTGATGTTTGTGTCCTTGGACAAGACACTTTAACCCACTTTGCCTGAAGCCCCCGCTGAATAATAAAAACAAAGTTGTGACGGAAAAGCCGTCCTCCTGAGGACCTTCATAACAGAATTGAACTAAGGGGTTGAACATGAATGAATGAATGAAAGAATTGATTTTCATTTAAATCACCTTTATCCTAGACCAGAGGTCTCCAACCTGTAGCCCGGGAGCCACCAGAAGCTCGCCACCCCATTATGATTCTAATGTTATCTTGTCTTGTTCAGCACTTTGGGTTGCCTTGTGTATGAAGTGTGCTATACAAAAAACTTTGCCTTGCCTTGCCTGGCCAGGTGCGCCTTGTAGTCCAGAAAGTACAGACTAGAAAATAAGTAAGTAAGTAATCTTTATTTATATACCGCCTTTCACAGACCAGAGTCATAAAGCGGTTTACAATTGTTATTTATGGGCACTTGTCCTCTCACTTCACACAGAGATGGGAGCGGGGTACACAGTTTTGGCATCTGACCCTGAGCTCTTTATACAGTCACTGTATTGCATTTACCAAGTTTTTTTTAACCAAATTTCAGCTAGCACGCACTGCCCCATCCACCAGTATGAATGTGCAAACGGCTACTGCATCCCTCTGTCCTTCGTATGTGACCACTGGGATGACTGCGGGGATAATAGCGATGAACAGGGCTGTGGTGAGTAGGAAGCAGACCCTCTGTAGGAAACATTATTAATTTATTCATTTTTTGTTTATATTTTTACTTGTTTTGTTTCGTCAGTGTATGAAAGCTGCAGCGGGAATCAGTTCACGTGCACCAGTGGCCGATGTATCCCCCAGCGCTGGGTTTGTGACCACTTCAACGACTGCGGAGACTATAGCGATGAGAAAGGCTGTGGTGAGTATGACGTGTGGTTCATTATAAATCTAGAAAAACAGAACGAAAATAGATGCTTTATTCGTCCCACAGTGGGGAAATTTCAATGTTGTAGCGCACAGGACAGGAGTAAGGGTACACAGATAGCACACAAAATATACAAAATAATTAGCTGCTATGTTTCTTAGCTAGCTGTAAATGCCTCAATATCAATATATCTATCTATAGTGTAAAGTCATATACATATAGGGCAGGATAATAAGTAGATAAAGTGACATTCAGTGGACATTCTGAAGTTGCGGTATTGCACATTGCACATGATTGCAGTATTTACTATTTACAGATGATATGACATATACAGGCTCACCAGTTCTCATTGTACAGTTTGACAGCAGCGGGAAGGAAAGATGCAGGTCTTTCCCCTACGTCACACAGCAAGGGTGAATAAGTCTGTCACTGACGCTACTCTCCAGAGCAGAGTGTCCTGCAGGGGGCGACAGTCATGGTCCAGCATAGATGCAAAAAAGACAGTATTTATGTCTAGTGTACACTTTGATGATAGTGAGAGTTTTAGTCTGAATCTTAATTTATATCTGGACACAGTCTTCTTGATGTTACAGTGATGGTATTTGTGCTGATGATTATTTCCAATCTGATTTTAGACAGTAATTCGAGGGACTGTTACCCGGGAGAGTGGGGATGTCCAGGGTCTACTGTATGTATTCCTGTGGGCAAAGTGTGTGACGAAAAACCAGATTGTCCTGGAGGAACTGATGAGAGCAACTCAACAGCCGGTCAGACCTGCGGTAAGGGAATCTTATGGTCTACAACAACCTAAAGGTGGTAGATTTACAACAGAGATCGGAGCCTACTTTAAAATGTATTTCTTTAAACATTTTTTACTAATATGTGTGTGTTTTTTTAAAGAAGACTTAACACATGCAGAGTTAAATACTAATCTCAGAATGTATTTTTTTGTTAAAGAAAATTTTTATACTGAAGAAATCTAACACATAATTTTTTTTTACTATTGATGCATTCTAAGATTTGTCTTAGACCCAGACGCAATCATCTAAAGAACCGCAGAGCCATAGGTTTCTTACCTCTGATTTACAAGATTTTAAATGTCCCATATTTTGCTTATTGATCTTGAGTTTCTTATGTATTGTTTTTTCGTTTTGTTCCCGATTCATAGTAAAACAGAAGTCATGTTCACGAAGCCTTTTGTTGAGAGAACTCCAAGGGTTACAAAATGTCAGTCTCGTATTTCAGAGAAAATGATACAGGGTTTTAAATAAGCGCGTCACATGTTTAAGGCTGAGAAACTGCTTTATAGAGCCATAAACTTGAGTTAATTGACTCTTAAGGTAACGCGTCAGCTATTATAGAACAGGTATTTACACAATTTACACAAACTTTAGTTTAATATTAACTTTTACTATTACCTTTTCTAACTGTTTTCTTTGCCCTTTGTGCTCTAAAATAATCTGTGTTTGGTAAGTGCTGAATAATAACTTTGTGTTTTGCAACAGGTCTGGAACGATGCTCCTCTCTGAGCTGTGAATATGTTTGCCACCCTTCGCCTCAAGGTGGCGCTTGTCTCTGCCCGGATGGTTTCATTGTAGCTAATGACAGCCGCAGCTGTGTCGGTGAGAGGCTTACGTTATTATACAGTCATCCATCCATACATCCATTTTCTTCCCCTTAATCCATTTCTGGGTCAGGGGGGGTGGCAGTCAGAGCTGCACCCAGTACACATAGCACCTGCCCCTCACTGATCCTCCTGCAGGTGGTGAGTCCACAGGAGCTGAGATCTTTCAGTTGGGGCTTTGGGCAAAGTAGGGTTAAGTGTCTTGCCCAAGGACACAACGACAGCAGTCATCAGTGGGAGTCGTGAAGTAGGTCTTATGGTGGGCTCGAACTCACGACCTTCAGGCCCAAAGGCCAATGCTCTACCAACTGAGCTACTGTCGCCCTCATATTATATGAGGCCCATTATACAGTCATGTAATTTGATTATTAAGTTACATACTCGAGTTGCATTCATATTTTGATACATGTTTATTGTCACCAGACTATGACGACTGTCAAATCTGGGGAATCTGTGATCAGCTGTGTGAAGATCGGCCTGGGACCCACCACTGCAGCTGCGCAGAGGGCTACTTTCTGGAGCTGGGGGGAGTCTGCAGAGCAAACGTGTCATGTAGGTGTTAGATATTATCATGTCACCATTTATCCAATCCACTTCATTTGTTTAGCACATCTTATAAAACAAGTGTTGCACAGAGATTAAAGTAACAGATATACAAATGTATATGCAAAAAAACATAGAACAAATAAAACATTAAGATGTTTGAAATGAAACAATTAAAATAAAATAATAACTGTAAAAAACACTATTAGAAGAAGAAGGTCCTTTTTTTGTCCCACAGTGAGGAAATTTCAGTTTGATGAATACACGTATACTTATCAAGGCATGCAGCAAACATTGGGCTTGAACCCACGACCTTCAGGCTGTAAGGCCAATGCTCTACCAACTGAGTCACTTGATGTAGACACAAAAAGTAAAAATAAAATAATAAAACACAAAGGACAAAAAGCCGATGTAGCTCACTATTCAGACATTGTGTTTGTCCCAATGAGAGTCACATTTTCTAAAATCAGATCACAACATGATCATCTTCATCTTATGAGGAAAACAATATCTTTTGCCATTTGAGTCACTATTTAATGTGTGACCTTTTTCAGAGAGAGAAACTCGTTACTTCATTACATTGTTATTTTTTTGTGCTGGGGCATGAAACTACTATTTCTGATGTTATTGTTGGTGTTCTCTCTTCAGCCGGACTTCCACAGCTGATTTTCACCAACGGGGGTGACGTGATGATGGCCGACATCCACGGCCGCTTTGTCAGAACGTTGGTGCCGTCGCAGGGGAAAGGCCTGGCTGTGGGCGTGGCCTACAGTTGGCACAGTGAACGGATCTTCTGGAGCGACACCTACACTAAAAAGGTCAAAATTATTTGTCACACACTCTCTTGTTGTCGCTGGTCCAGTCATGATTGTAACATTATTAATTATGTTTGGGGTGATATAGGTGTACTCTGCCAACTACAATGGTGGTGACGTCAAAGAGGTCTTGACAGCCGCCGTGCAGAGTGTGCAGAATCTGGCCGTGGACTGGATCAACTTCAAACTCTATGTATTGGAAGCGATGGTCGAGCGAATTGACGCGTGTGAATTCAACGGAGATAACAGAGTCACACTGGTGGCTGAAAATCTGCAGACCCCTCACGGCTTGGCTCTGGACCCTACTGTGGGGTGAGTATTTGACAACATATTTACTAGTAATGTGGCTTTTTGTTCAAACTCTTTTATTCTTTTGGTTCTAGCTACATGTTTTTCACGGACATGGGAGTGTCCAATCAACAGGTGAAGCTCGAGCGTGCCTTTATGGATGGCAGCAACCGCCTGGAGCTGATCAAAGGTAGGCTGGGAACGCCCACCGGAATCAGCTTGGATCTTGTCACCAAAAGGGTCTACTGGTCCGACAGCCACTTCGACACTGTGGAGACAGTCACCTACGACGGCTTGGACAGGTCGGTACAGGCTCAGGAAATTCCCCAATCCTTCATTGTATGGTCTGCTAGTACTTAATGCTGTGTTTTGTCTTTTAGAAAAATTGTGCTCAATGGTGCAACACAGTCCCCACATCCTTTTGGAGTTGCAGTGTTTGAGAATCATGTGTTTTTTACTGACTGGTCAAAAATGGGTGTAATAAGAACAAATCGATTCAACGGAAGCAGTCCTGCACTCATTTATCGCACCGGCAAACGCCCAGGCCATGTTGTGGTCTCTCATTCAGTCCTGCAACCTTTTGGTAAGCATCTGTTAAAATACATTTGATTCAGAGAAACTGTTGTTAATGTTAAAATATACTTTTTTGGACCTTTTTTTCATTGTTGCAAAACGTTGAAACATAAAAAGCTCAAAAAGTAGAACAACTCTGGGTCTATTTTTGATAAAAGTGCTATTAACCTGTAACTCCTTCCCTACTGTCTAAAAGCTCTTGTCTCAGTCTGGTAAAAGTATGATGTGATTTTCAAAATGTGTTAAAGAATATATGATCATCTCACTTCTCCCTCTGTTCAACTTATATTTGAAGATATTAAAGGAACAATATGTAAAAATCTGGCCAAAAGTGGTACTGCAGTCACAGTCAATATTTTGTAGTCCTCTCCCACTCTCCCTGACTCAGGTTGCCAGATACACACCAAATCCAGCAGCAAACACAGGGAATTATTGATTGACTGCGGAACCTTCCGCAGTCAACCATTGGTTTTGTATTTCTTTATTCCGTCATTTTTTTTGACACGTTTCACAGCTTTCACATTTTCAACAATTTCCACAAGTTATACATCAAAACGTTCCACATGTTTGGGAGATTATTGCTATTACTTTTGGGACTTCAGCGATTTCCGGTTTTTCCGCAATCGGACAAAAATCTGCATTGAGAATTCTGCAATGCATTTTAATAGGCCCATGCATTTTAATAGGACTTCAGCTCTTTCAGACATTTCTACAGTTTCAATGATTCAACAGTTTCAAGGATTCAACAGTTTCAAGGATTTCAGCAGTTTCAAGATTTCAAGAGTTTCAAGGACTTCAACAGTTTCAAGGACTTCAGCAGTTTCAAGGACTTCAGCAGTTTCAAGGACTTCAGCAGTTTCAAGGACTTCAGTGTAATCATGCAACCTAATAGGGATTTTTCCATGTAAACCAGTATAATGCAACTTAATAGGGTTTTTTCCATGTAAACCAGTATAATGCAACTTAATAGGGTTTTTTACATGTAAACCAGTATAATGCAACTTAATGGGGATTTTTCCATGTAAACCAGTATAATGCAACTTAATGGGGATTTTTCCATGTAAACCAGTATAATGCAACTTAATAGGGGTTTTTACATGTAAACCAGTATAATGCAACTTAATAGGGTTTTTTCCATGTAAACCAGTATAATGCAACTTAATAGGGTTTTTTCCATGTAAACCAGTATAATGCAACTTAATAGGGTTTTTTCCATGTAAACCAGTACAATGCAACTTAATAGGGATTTTTCCATGTAAACCAGTATAATGCAACTTAATAGGGTTTTTTACATGTAAACCAGTATAATGCAACTTAATGGGGATTTTTCCATGTAAACCAGTATTATGCAACTTAATAGGGATTTTTCCATGTAAACCAGTATAATGCAACTTAATAGGGTTTTTTCATGTAAACCAGTATAATGCAACTTAATAGGGTTTTTTTCATGTAAACCAGTATAATGCAACTTAATGGGGATTTTTCCATGTAAACCAGTATAATGCAACTTAATAGGGGTTTTTACATGTAAACCAGTATAATGCAACTTAATGGGGATTTTTCCATGTAAACCAGTATTATGCAACTTAATAGGGATTTTTCCATGTAAACCAGTATAATGCAACTTAATAGGGATTTTTCCTTGTAAACCAGTATAATGCAACTTAATAGGGTTTTTTTCATGTAAACCAGTATAATGCAACTTAATGGGGATTTTTCCATGTAAACCAGTATTATGCAACTTAATAGGGATTTTTCCATGTAAACCAGTATAATGCAACTTAATAGGGTTTTTACATGTAAACCAGTATAATGGAACTTAATAGGGGTTTTTACATGTAAACCAGTATAATGGAACTTAATAGGGGTTTTTACATGTAAACCAGTATAATGCAACTTAATAAGGATTTTTACATGTAAACCACTATAATGTAACCTAATAGGGGTTTTTACATGTAAACCAGTATAAAGCAACTTAATAGGGATTTGTACATGTAAACCAGTATAATGCAACCTAATAGGGATTTTTCCATGTAAACCAGTATAATGCAACTTAATAGAGATTTTTCCATGTAAACCAGTATAATGCAACTTAATAGGGATTTTTCCATGTAAACCAGTATAATGCAACCTAATAGGGATTTTTCCATGTAAACCAGTATAATGCAACCTAATAGGGATTTTTCCATGTAAACCAGTATAATGCAACCTAATAGGTTGCATTATACCACCAGACCAAGACCCAAACGAAGACTCAGACCACCACCAGATAATGACCACAGACCAGGTTTCCTTAGTTACAGGAACCAAATTGTTTCAGCGGTGAGGGGATTTTTCAGTTTCAAGGACACTTTCAATACATTCAGTAGTTTCAAGGATTTCAACTGTTTAAGAATTTAACCAGTTTCAAGGATATCAGGAGGTTCAAGGATTTCAGGAGTTTCCACACTTTCAACAGTTTCCAGGTTTAAAAAAAGTTTCAAGGATTTCAGGAGTTTCAATGTTTCAACAGTTTCAAGGATTTCAGGAGTTTAAAGGTTTCAACAATTTCAAGGACTTCAGGAGTTTCAAATATCTATCAAGTATTTTAACAGTTTCAAGGCCTTTTAAAGGATTTCAAGGATTTTTTTTAGCAGATTTCCACATTAGATCTGTTCCGCAGTCAATCGCAATGGCTTCAGCCATTGCAAGTTTCTAGTTTTATCAGTTGTTTGTCTGTCTCCATTCACATTGCCATGAGGGATGCTAATGTTGAATGAATGTTTACTTTTTTTATTCTATTTGGACATTTGAGATAAAAAACACAAAACAAAATAAAAGCAATGTAATTATAGATTATCCAAAATAAATAAGCAATTGATGTACAAAATAGGAGTGGGAAGAATGGATGTTGGAACATATTTCTTCAGTGTATCAACATCAGGGTTTGCTCCAGAGGATATCACCCTTCAATTTTATTTATTCCCTATTTTTTAGACAAACATGTATAAGTCCCACATCAAAAAGAGACTAACATTATTTTAATTGGGGTACATGTGGTCTTAAATTATTCTTTTTGCAATTAAGCTATAATCTGCAAAAAAACATCTTGACCTTCGTCTTTTACCGTTTTTAGAGCAATCTGTCATAGAATGTGATAAGATGCAATTAAATACAAAAAGACTTTACCTGGAATTGAACCCGAATTGCTACATTGTGAGCGCAGAGCTTTAACCACTAGACCATCAATTCACACGATCACATTTGTTCTGAAGAATGCAATTAAAGCAGCAAATTTGCATCACACGTAAACTTATCAGCTGTCTCAATTGTTCAAAGGCGTCCCGATATAAATCCTCGTTTTAGTCTTTGTTTTGTCATTAAAGGCGCTATACCCGTTTCTGCAATGTTTGAATGTTTAGCACCGCCCCCCAACTCGCTCAATGGCTTCTCATTTCTCATAACACAGAGCCACCTAGTTTTATTTGCGATCTGATAAATATGCTAACATTAGCATTAGCGCAACTTCTTGTAAGCTGTGCAACAATCACTGATGAAATGGCACTAAAGCAATGCACTGCTAACACAATATATAAGTAAAAGAATACCGCTAGTTTCGCGTCCGAATGTATTGATTTAAAACCTTAGAATATATTCTAATATTTAATTATAATTTGTTATAGAGCTACTCAAAGCAGCAGCAGCAATTCTTCCGATCATTTTTCTTGATAACAGAACTCTCAAACTAATAATGACCGAAGCCCCAATGCAACCTGTTTGTAATTCAGGTGTGTAAAATACTGCCATTACTCTGCAAGTACAAAACGCTATCAGCGCCTGTCACTGCACACTTGTCTGTGTAGAGAAGCTAGCGGAGCTAGCGGAGCTAGCCACGCTCAATAAACAACTACATATCTATCAATCAACACCATTAAACGTCAATCGGACAATACAGTACACATATACATCCTTGACACACATGCACGGATGATTTCAGAATTTGCTGTTAACGTTTTCATGACAAAAATACTGTTTCAATGTGACAAAAAGCGATTGCGAAAAACCCGGAAGTTACCATGAAACAGCTAGCTAGCTTAGCTGTTACCTGCCTAGCACGTCCCGGTGAAACCTTTGGGAGCTAACTATTTTATTTGCAGTCATTCAATACATTTCGAATTACAAGGGTTGTCTAATATTTGTTCAAATTTTTTTATTCAATAATTTTTTTCATCATTTTTTATTTTAGAATTATATTCGAATTTTGAAGTCCAGCGCTGTAGGGGCTAGAGGACGCAGGCTGTTCGCTGCTCGTTCTGTGAGCGGAGGAGAAAGAGCGGCCCGCTCAGACTCTACTCAGCACTTTTCACTGCTTGTAATTCTTACACAGCTGAATCAATTACCTCAAGTTTTCAATTAAATGATGTATTATGATACAACTTGTATGTAGTAAAAAGCATTTTTATGAACTACTTAGAAAAAAAATCGGGTATAGCTTCTTTAATTATTTGAGAGTCATAACAAGACCTTTTTTAGTTCTGCGGCCACATGTTTTACCACTGAGATTAGTGAGCCGCGCGGAGTTCTGGCAACCCGATCACGGACTTATGACACTTCCTGATTGGCGAAACGGTGGAGGGTAGGACATCAAAATCAAAACAATAACAACTTTTACGGGTCGTAAAATTAATTTTGATAATCAAATATCTCGGCTAAACTACTGTAATCAGTTTAAGATGTATACGAAAAGAGCATGATTTAATAACGCCTTTTGAAATATGGGGGCCATTTAATGATGACTTGACATGCAAATATTACATACTGCTACTTTAATTAACATTCTAAAGCATGACACAGAAAGTTAAAAGTCGCAGTATATTTGTCAATGGCTAAAACAAATGCTTTGTGTCTGAAGCTTGAACTGGATTGTTTTTGCAGTGATGAACCCATGTGGAAGACACAATGGCAGATGTCAACACATTTGCCTTCTTAGTCACCGCACGGACAATGACGGACTAGGTTTTCGCTGCAAGTGTCGCCACGGTTACGACCTGCAGCCGGATCGCCGCACCTGTTTTAGTGAGTTCCCCTTGATTTTGCGTGTAAAATGTTTTGTGTTTTTATCCTGAGTTCCTGACCTCTCCTGTGTCTGCTTGTGTGAACAGAAGTGAAAGACTTTTTGTTGATGGCCACATCGCTGGCCGTGCGGGGGATCCCACTGAACCTGTCCCTGCAGGAGGACATCACTCTGCCTTTAATTGGACTCGGAACATCATTCTCTGGGTCTGCTGTAGAATATGACGGTAAAGAGGAATCCATTTTCTACAATGACAGGTCAAGAGGTCTCATCTACAAGTCTAACCTAAACGGAACAGGTAAGTTTTCCCATTCAATAAGTGCCACAAAATGAGAAAACTTTTGTTCCTAGAAAAGTATAACAATGTGTCAATTTTCAGAGCAACAGATTTTGACAGGTTACAGGATTTCAACAGTCGACGCCATGGCCTATGACTGGACCTCAAAGGTTTTGTTCTGGACCTCCAGCAGCTACAGGATAGTTGCAGCGTTCCGGACAGTGGATAAATCCAGACGGGACATAGTGACAGGAGTGAGGAACCCTAAAGGCATCGCAGTGCATCCAGCCGCAGGGTGAGTTTTAAAATATAATGAAAATACAGCAAAAAACTATGGGTCAAAATTGTGTGTCGCTCCACAGATACCTGTTCTGGTCTGACTTGTACCGCCCCGCTGTCATAATGAAAGCTTACACTGATGGTAGCAATGCAGTTCCTCTGGTTAACACAACTCTTGGATTGCCGTATGGTCTTGCTCTTGATTTGGTGTAAGTACCACAATCAACTAAAATGTTTTCTTATGTAATACATGTATTTAATAATATATAATTACATTAAATTTAATGGGAAATAACTGTGGACTTTCTGTGCCAGTTCCAACCGCCTGTACTGGACAGATTATCTTTTGGATCAGATCGGCAGTATTAATATCGCAGGATCAGACAGGCAGACGTTCAGCAGTCTTGGACAAATCACACAGCCGTACTCTCTCACAGTTTACTCCGGTAGGTCTGCCAATATTATGTCAATGTTAGCTTTATTTGTTAAGCACATATACAACCACAACAGCTTTCCAAAGAGCTTCACATATTTACAAAAGATAAAAAAATAACAAAAATAAAACGGCATAAAATACATGTAAAATGTGAAACAGGACAATTCAGTTGGTGTGAAAAGCTAAGGCCTAAAAATGTGGCTTTAGACTAGATATAAAAACCTCCAATGATGGAGGTAACTATTCCACTGTTTGGGGCAGAAATATTTATTTATTATGTCATATTTAAGATACAACACACGGTTCAATTATAATCAAAGTAAGGAAAAAGATTACTGTTTTTGTTTTTGTAGATTATTTATATGTTTCGGATACAAGGACCAGGGCGATATTTGAGATGCGAAAAAGAGACGGAGGTGGAAATATTATGTTTCGACAAGGAATAAACAGTATTATTAACATCAAGGCCTACACAGCTGACCTTCAGGGCAGTAAGTTGTTTGTTTATCTATTGTCTATGTACAAAACAATTTCAAAGCTGACTTATCACTGTCTATGAATACAGTGTATAACAGCCAGTGCAACCTGGTCCCCAACGGACGCTGCAGCCATTTCTGTTTCCCAACTCCCTCGTACGGCCGTGTGTGCGGCTGCCCGTTCGGGATGAAGCTCCAGGTGAATCAGAGAGACTGTATCAAGGACGACTCCGTGGCTCCTCCGGACAACATCTGCGGCGATTACGCTTTTGAATGTGACGAGGGCCGCTGCCGACCAAACTCTTACCGCTGTGACGGATACTTGGACTGTGTGGATAAAACTGATGAGGCGAACTGCACCAACACTGGTAACTTAATGATCAAACTATAATTTTATACATTTAACATTATTGTTTTAACTCACTAAAAGATTAAGAGATCCTACATTTCAGTGTTGCATCACCAGTTACAGAACAGTAGGAATGAGGAGCTCACAACTATAAGCTAAAATAAAATAAAATCTGTAATTTTTGCATAAGAAAGAATATGTATATAAATACTTTATATTCTCGTGCAAGAATATAAATATATATTTGTATGTATACATCTGTACATGTTCGCAGCATGAGGGTCTGGAACATACTGGACAGATGTGGTTCTATATGGAACACTCTTTCATATGGACATATTTTAATCATTATTGCACAGATTGGAAAAGTAAAGTGATAAAAGTTGCTAAATGTGCATTAATAATATAGTCTTTTTTAATGCCTCCACCAGGGGGTAATGTGATAACCAGGGTGTGTTTATCTGTCTTTTTGTTAGTTAGCAAGTAACCCAAAGAGTTATGGCTCTATTTAAATTTGGACATGAAACAAATTACCACATTTTGGAGATGGGGTTGGACGGATTGTTTGAAAGGAATAGAGTGCTTTTTTAGTTTTGTTCTAAAAAATCAGTAACAAAAATACTAACAATTTGTAAAATCAGGATATATTCAATATGTTTTTGTTTCTACATTTGTTTGCATATTGCTCAGTTTGTCAAGATGCACAAATGTAACTCATCATATACAAAGCCATCACATCTCTAAATAGGTTTTTTTTTAAACTTATTTTGGCACAGATTTGACCATTTCATGTTTTTTCCTTATTGAAATGTGGAATACTTTATCTTACTATGATTTCCAGGTGCTACGTGCTCGCCGCAGGCGTTCACTTGCAACAACAAACACTGCATCTTACAGAGCTGGCGCTGTGACGATCAGGACGACTGCGGAGATGGATCTGACGAAGTGAACTGTCCCACCAGCATTCCGACCACCTGCTCCTCCGAGTTTTTCACCTGCGACAACTTCAGGTGTATTTCCAAAAAGTGGCTCTGCGACGGCGACAACGACTGCGGTGACGGCTCCGATGAACACAACTGCAGTGAGTAAAGAGCAGAGTTGCCAGATCTTTTTGAGCTTTGGCACATTTTCAATTGGAAACAATGTCATTGTCACGTGGTGGAAATGCAGGAATGCCAAAAATTATTATTTCATGATAATAAAATAAAAGTCCAAGTAAAACTCAAAATCCAAAGGCTCAAAAAGTAGTGATGTGCTGAGCGTGCCGGGTCTTCGAAGCGTGTACCGAGTAAAAAAGGGGCGTATTTTTTTAAGCGTGGTTTGAGGCGTATGTTGGTGACTTATGTGGTGACGTTCGAAGCCTCGCGTAGCGGCCGCACCACGTGACGGTTCATATAGTTGGGAGAGTGCATTGCTTTGACAGGTGCTTTGTGATCCGCGGCTGTACCATAGACTGTATTGGCTGTCCCCGTCTGCCTCTGTGTGCGTACGTGTGTGTGCGTACGTGTGTGTGCGTGATGTGGAGCAGTCCTGTACTAAGTATAGAGAAACAACTTCATATGAAATACAATTAAAAACGTTTCACTTTAGTAAATCCTCATATATCAAGGCTATTAGTAATAAGTTAGTTATTAGTAACTAATACGCTGGATAATACATTTCACAACAGCTGTGTGGCGCAGTCGGTCTATGACGGACTCCGAAGTAGAAGATATAGCGTTCGAATCCCGGTCTACCCATAATAAATTTTGTGTTGCAAAGTAAATGTATTTATTTATTGGGAATAAATGGTTTGTTGTGTTTCATTAATCCACCTCTTGGTAGTTTTTCCTCCATTAATCACTTTCTGTAGAACTGTATTACTTTGGATGTGTTTGTTGTATCAACACAATTGACTGAAAGACTCAAATAGTTCATAGTTCATGAAGCATCATTTCAAACACAACGTTAGACCATAGATTGCAAATATACATTTTAACATTAGATCTCACCATTCATTGTAAGCACTTAAGAGTGTTATGTATTTCTTTGTCCACATGATGGCGTAGTGGAGCATGATTCACCTCGAGCCTTCGACTCATGGGCCGAGTAATAGGCTGCGATCCCTCAAGGCTTCATGGGGCTTCATATTGCCATCACTATCAAAAAGAATCAAGGAAACCGGAACAGACAAGGACAAGACGAAGGTTGACAATACAATGGACTAGCAACAAGGGGAGAGAAGCACAGGGTACATATAGACACAGAGAGACACAGGTGAAACACATCAGGGCGGGGCAGACAATCAAGACAGGGGCAAACAGGACAGGAAGTACAACTAAAACCAAACCACAGAGAACAATGTCAAAATAAAACTAAAATACAAAAATAAAACCCACGCCATGACAGTACCCCCCCTCCAAGGGACAGCTCCCAGATGTCCCAAAAAACCAAACACAAACCAGGGAGGGTGGAGGGGGCACGGCGGAGGGACCAAAGGCAGTTCAGAGGCTGAAAACCTCATGTCCGAAGCAATGTCCAAACCAATCTGGGACCGGAGCTGAAGCCCAGTGACCACCTTCCATACGGAACTGGCTCACCCCGGGCGGAGACAAATGCCCAGCGGTGACACAGACGGGAACAAAACCACCCCAGACGGAGAACAATGTCTGGCGGTGGAAACAGGTAAAGGGAAGGAGAGGTCATCAAAGGGGAGCAGGCAGACACAGGTGGGGAATCCAGGCAGACGGGAACATCCAGACGAGAGCTTCACTGTTGACCCCACAACAAGCCAAGGGGAAGGGAACAGAAGACCACCCCGGACGGACGATAATGCCCGGCGGTGGTGCAGGACAAATAACCACCCCAGGCGGAGTTCCTTGCCTGGCGGTGGTTTAAGGTAGCAGGTTGAGAGGTAGCAGTGAAGGGAAGGATATCCGCAAAAAATAAATAAAAACCTGGTGACAAACAGGGAGCCGGTGTGGGGAAAAAATAAAAAAGGCATTCCGCTGAGTCCGTGTGATGGCTAGTCCATTCTGTCCTCAACCTTCGTCTTGTCCTTGTCTGTTCCGGTTTCCTTGATTCTTTTTGAGCCTTGGGATTTTGAGTTTTACCTGGACTTTTATTTTATTATCATTAAATAATATTTTTTGGCATTCCTGCATTTTGGGTCCTTCCTGCATTTCCACCACGTGACAGTCATGCCCAGAAGGGCTGGGAAATGGAAAAAAATGACAATTACATAGTATTGCTTAATCTGGGTCACAATTCAATATTATTGCATTTTTTTATATATTTTGAAACAGAAATCTTGTTTCTGTGATATATTGTGATTCATGTCCCTCATATTATTCAAAGGCATTACAAAAATTGAATAAAATAAGACTCAACTCAAATATCACATTTATTATGGACTGCACATGAACTGAAGCAAACACTTAAGAGGGTAGTGTAAAAACATTCATGAGACAGGAACTTATTACAGACAAGACATCATTATTCTCTGAAGGCGACCTCTCGCATGAATAATGAGCTCCCAGCACATAACGTTATTCAATAAAATAAAAATTATGAAAATACAATAAACTAGAGTCACAAAAAGCAGACATAAGAGGAACATAAGCCTCAGATGTAAATTACCAAAGTATACTCAAAGAAAACACGGAAGTGACACAGATAATCATTTAATTAAATACCACAATATTTTGCTTTACTGTATTAATTTAAATGTGTGTGCAAAATATGGTGATACTGAACAGAATACATGTTTTCCCTTCACCACTAACGCACACCACCAGCTGAAACTGATACAAACATGAAACTCTGCAGACTCTAGTAACACTGCAAAGTCATTCTCACTAAAGTGTATTGTATAAACTCTTTCTAAACTTCTCATATTAAGCCACAGCGCACCTGGTAGAAAAACACTAGCATTGTGTGTCCATTCAGGAAAGTCTAATGAGCAACTTTATTTTCTTTTGAAAATTATGCAGATTCGACCATCACGACTTGCCCACCGTCCTATTTCCTTTGTCCCGACCACCGCTGCATCAGTGACTTCCTGGTTTGTGATGGAGACCAAGACTGTTTAGACGGCTCTGATGAGAAGGACTGCGGTTTGTATTACATTGACTCAACACATTGTTTACAGCTTCTACTCTTTCTCTAATTAATCTGAAATGTTCTTCTCCATGTAGAGTATTCTTGTGCCTCCTATGAATTCGCCTGCGCTAGTGAAGACCAGTGCATCAGTAACAACTATCGCTGTGATGGAGTGTTTGATTGTCGAGACCACTCTGATGAACGAGACTGCCGTAAGCTGAAAAACTATTCTATAATACAAATATATACTGAGTGATTGCATTTTTTTTTTTATTTGAGCAAAAATTTTGTACACTGTTCAGTCAAGCAACAATATTTTCTATAGTTTCACCATGTCTTTGTATATTTACAAGTTCAATATATATTTTAATATGCATTTCTATTTACAATTTGTCAGCTTGAATGGAATGGGAAAGAGAGAGAGACCATAAAAAGAGACCAGAGAGTGGGAAAGAAGTAAAAACTTAGTCTCGCACCCCATAGGCATAGTATACATACTGTACATTAATAAATTTAGTTATTTTGCATATAGCTATTTTGCATTTTGTTGTTAAGTATTCACTCAGCATTCTATTTCTTCCTTAGCCACGCTGAGTCCAGGCTTGTGCAGTGACGATGAGTTCCAGTGTCAAACAGACGGCTTCTGTATCCCAAAGACGTGGGAGTGCGATGGGCACGCCGACTGCGAGGACGGCTCCGACGAACACCACTCCTGTCCGCCCATCACCTGTGGATCCTTCTACTTTCAGTGCAACAACAAGGTTTGCATCCCGCAGGGCTGGGTCTGTGACGGGGAGAACGACTGTCGAGACATGAGCGACGAGCAGAACTGCCCCACGCCGCCCTTCAGCTGCCCTTCAGGCCAGTGGCTCTGCCCCACGGATATGGTCTGCATCAACATCAACAAAGTGTGTGACGGTCAGAGGGACTGTCCCAACGGAGCGGACGAATCTCCCTTGTGTAGTAAGTCGATACATCACACTATTGCATCAGGGGTAGTGTCAAATTTTGGTCAGGGGCTGAATAAACAAATATAGCAACTGGTTTGGGCTGAAAGAAAAAAATGGATTTCCTTTGATTTTGCCATAGAAGCCCGTAACCATTAATACTGCAAGTTAATAATAATTGAAAATCAGTTTAGGAGCCACTAAGAATTGTCTTGCGGGCCGATTTTGGCCGACGAGCCTGAGTTTGACACGTTTGTCTTAGATGTAAACTAGGAATAAGTGTGGTTTCCCTTGTGCTCCAGACGAAAATGACTGCCAGTTGAACAATGGTGGCTGCAGTGATGGTTGTATCCAGGGTCCGTTCGGAGCCCAGTGCACCTGTCAACCAGGTTTCCAACTTCTCAACGACTCCAAGACGTGTGACGACATCAACGAGTGCCTCATCCCAGGGTTCTGTAGCCAGGGTTGTTACAATGAACGAGGCAGCTTCAGATGCTACTGCTCCGAGGGCTACTTCCTGGAGCCGGACGGTCGCACATGCAAAGCTGGAGGTAGAAACAAATATGTTAACACACTTAGGCACAAGCTTTTTTATTGGTTTGTGATGTTGGGTCAGAACACTAACACAAACCATGTAGGAAAAGCTTTGATTCATATTTCATTGGCTCAATTATTAGATTTTTTTTTTTTTACAATGGTGGTACAAGTATTGCAGGATAAACTACATGCTACTTGCTGGATTATTAAGTACACTGGTATATAAACCGCTCCAGATACATTTTTAGAAAAAGTACATTATGTCCACAAATAGGCTGCATTTGAATATAAGCCACATATTTTCATGTTGTAATGTAACACAGCAAAACAAAGCCCATGATAAAAAAAAATCCACTCTATTTGACAATAAACAAGCTTCCCACCCTTGCTAAAATGTTCATAAACTATATCACTATATAGGTTGCAGAGTCCAAAGAAGTACAAAAGAGGTAGTGGTTTATAATCCAGCAAGTACAGTATTTTCAGCACTTATTTAAGTTGGAGTTTTTTCAGACTGAAAGTCTGACCCCTCATGATTTGATCTAGACTGGGTTGATTGGAGATAGATCATTCTTAATGAAGTTTAAAAATGCATTGATTTGTATCCTGCGCATTTTTCAAACCAATCGTTTGTGGAAAACTTCAGACAATGATCTTAACATTACACTTTTGATTCTTAGATCCAATGGCTGCTGTACTTTTGGTTACCAAACGAAGTCAGATCGTTGCAAACTTTATTGAGATGAGGCCGCCTCTTATAAGACCTGTGATCAGTGGTTCAGGTATCGTCACTGTGGATTTTGATCGAGTGACCACACGCATGTACTATGCTGATGCCTCAACAAAGCAGATTTGGAGTGCTTTCCAAAATGGCACTGACAAAAAACAGGTCAGTATTGCCTCGATCGCTCCTTATTGTGAATGTGTGTCGTAAACATTTTGTGTAATGTTCCGGTCTGTAGGTGTTCTCTACTGGACTTATGGTACCAGAGAGTATTGCTGTGGACTGGGTGGGTCGAAATCTCTACTGGACAGACTCAGTGATGGAGAATATAGAGGTATCGACGTTGGACGGTCGTTTCAGAAAAGTTCTTTTGACCAAAAATATCACCAGCCCTCGAGGCCTTGTCCTGGACCCTCGCAACCAGTAAGTCACAAAAATATTGAGGATTTTATCAGGTTCAATGTCGTGCTCTTCAGAAAGTATTGTGATTTGATGCTGCGATATATTGCAATTTATGTCCCTCATAATATTCAAAGGCGGTAAATGAGGAAAATAAGACTTCTCAACTCAAATGTCTTATTAATTATGGTCTAAAAAATGTACTGTAGCGCAAACACTTCAGTAGTGTGGTGGGGTAGTGCCAAAACATTATCCTTGAACATTCAGGACACAAGACCTTATACCTTGTACCATATTCAAATACTAGAGCCACAAAGAGCAGACATAAAAGAGTAACATAAACCCCAGATGTAAATTACCAGAGTAAACTCAGAGAAAACATAGTGATACTTTCCTCTACTGTATTAATTGAATAGCATGCAAAAATGTCGCAAGACTGAACAGAATAGATTTTTTTCCCCCACTACAAGTTCAATGATGATTGCACATGTCATTCTTTGCAGTACCAACATTATGTTTTGGTCCGACTGGGGCAAAAACCCTCGTATTGAACGGGCTTTCATGGACGGATCAGCGAGGATGGCGATTCTAACCACTAAAGTTTACTGGCCTAATGGATTAGCTCTGGACTACACCACGCGCAGGCTGTACTTCGCAGACGCGTACCTCAAGTACATCGACTACTGCGACTACGAGGGCAACAACCGACAGCAAGTGATGGCCAGTGATGTGGTATGTGCTGTGTCTCGTACCACTGCATCTCAAGTATTCAAGACAGAAGTGGTTTTCTTCAACTGATGATTTTATTAGCATCCAACTTAGCATAGATCTATATACAAACACCAAGGAAAACTAAAAGAAAGAAAGAAAGAATTAACGATGTAAGCTAAACTTAAATACACACATACAATAGACATGAAACATAAAGTTACAGAACAAGAACTAACCTCGTTGGCTGTGTGGGTGAGGAATAAGCTCCCATTTCGTCTTTTGTGTCGTTTCTGACTTTTTCTGCTTAATTGTGTTACTAACCATGCACCTTTCGTCTCCTGACTGAGATCTTTTTTCGACACAAAATATCTATCTCTGAGCATACACAGCCCAAGGACTTGACAAGTGCGCCCACTACTGGTAGAAAACTGAAATTAAACAAAAACAAAATGCATATAATAATAATGTAATTGTAAATAATAATAATGATGATGGGGAAATAATATTTTTCTCTCAAATTCTGAACCTGTATTTTCCCTTTTGACCAGGTGTTGCAGCACCCGCACGGGATGACAATCTTTGAGGACTATGTGTACTGGTCTGAGCGTTACACCAGCAAAGTTATGAGGACCAACAAGTTTCATGGGGGGAATGTCACCACAGTGATCAATAATGTCTATCAGCCGATGGGAATGGTTATGGCACACCCTATCAAGCAACCACATGGTTTGGAAAATAGCACCTTTTTGTACATAGTAGTTGTACTTATGTATAATTGTAAATTGTTTTTTCAGCTGTCAACCCATGCCACGAACACCTCTGCTCTCAGCTCTGCCTTCTGTCTGGGTTGAGGCCTCGATATTACAACTGCCAATGTCAGTCTGGATGGAAACTACAGCCAGACAAGCGCACCTGTGTCAAAGGTAGGCCTGTCACATCCACCAGTCCATAGGATTCAGACCCAGTCTATGAGAAAGTTAATGTTTGATGTTTTATATAAATAGATGACACTCCTTTCCTTATGGTGGTGAGAGATTCTGTTATTTTTGGGATTCCCCTGGACCCCGCCGATCCATCCAACAACGCAATGGCCCCAGTGTCCGGTGTGAGCCAAGGACGAGACATAGAGTTTGATGACCAAGAACAGTTTGTCTATTGGGTGCAGAATTCGGTGAGAACAATACAGTTTTTACAATATAAGTCATATTGTTAAAACTGTCTTAGTTCTGATACATTTTGGTAATTTCAGGGTTCTATATGGAGAGTCAAAACAACTGGTACCAACAGGTCTGAGTTTGCACCAGCGGCTTTCCTAGGAACACCCTCAGGACTGGCTTTTGACTGGATTGGTCGAATGATGTTTTATACAAATCCAACTGCCAAAACTATTGAGGTAAATCAGATCCACTACATTTGGTTTGTAGTTTGATGCATACAGTTGTGTGTATCGTGGATTTCACACCCGGGCAGATTTATTCTTTGGCCAGATTTTGGAGATTTGGGATGAAAACCCATAAAGTGTAATTCACTATGGCTTTGTTAGTGGTTATGTGAAGGCAGATAGTCTGATATATGTTCCCCTTTAACATCTATCACCGCTTGGTGTCTTTTGTGATAGTTGTAGATAAGGTTCTTTTTCCTTCTCTCTTTTATAGTATGTATTCATTTATTTGAACAGTATTATTTCTGCTCAAAGGGAGTGGGCTGAAGCAAGAATATTATGAGCACCCCACCCCCAAACTCAATACAATCTCTCTAATGGTAAAGCTGCCCATTCTTCTAGTCGAAAGCCTCCAGATCGTTTAAATACCTGGGCCACAATGATTTTGTAATTTTAAATGAGAAAACATGACGTTTTGACAGTAGATGGCTTCACACAATGGCTAACGATGAGTAGAATTAGATATACATTCCAGTCAGTGTCTTATTATGTCATTAAAGAAATTAAAAAGTGGTATTTAATGGTGCAAAACATTGTAGGTGATCCGTGTGGATGGAGAGCAGCACTACAGAAAAACACTTGTGACTTCCACTGGAAAGCCTGAAGGGGTTGGATCTCCTTTTGGGATAGTCGTCGATCCGGCTCGAGGGTAAACTATTCACAAATCTGCTCTTCCAGACTTTAAAATATGATGTTGTTTCTATTTTCTGCTCTCACACAGGAAACTGTTTTGGTCCGACACGGGCTCAAACGGAGTCCCTGCTAAAGTTGGAAGTGCTGACATGGATGGATCCAATCTCAAGAATCTTTACAGTGAAAATCTGGCTAACGTCGGGTATATTGCTGCTGACATCTCCACCAGTAAACTCTACTGGGGCATCGCCGGCACTGGGGTGGTATGTGAAAGTAACTATTCTATCTGATCGAATTCAATGTTAGAATTTTTGTTTTTTGTTTGTAGATTGAGTGTGGTACAATGGACGGGCAGAGTCGTGTCAGAGTAGTCAGTGGTCTGTCCAATCCCTGGGGCCTCACTATTCACCAAAACTATCTGTACTACACCGACTTGGACTTGGAGGTCATTGAAAGAGTGGACAAAGACACTGGGGCCAACATGGTGGTCATGAGAAGTGGCATGTCTGGGCTGCGAGCTCTCAAAGTCCACGCCAGAGACAGTAAGTACATTCAAGCTCTACGCTGTTGGAGAGATTATGATATTGAACTTACAGCATTGTCTTTCCAGAATCAGCCGGAACCAGCAATGCTTGCAGCACCAACAATGGTGGTTGCCCTCAGCTTTGTCTGCCCAAACCAGGGACTCTGAAAACTTGTGCCTGCACCACTGGCTTTAACCCTTCACACGACGGCACTCACTGCGAACAGTTTGAATCATTCGCTGTAGTTACAAACTCTAAACACATCCGAGGCTTCCACATCAATAGCTCAGATCACTCAGAAGCAATGGTCCCTGTCGGCGGACGTAAGTTTATCATTGTATTGCGTTCAGTTTGAACATAATGGAATATTCTTAATCCTACTTATTCTATTCCTAGCGTCATACTCGATCAAGGACAGGCTGGACGTCCATATTGAGTCCGGCTTTGTTTATTGGACGGATAACAGCTCCTCAACCACATACAAGGGAATCTTCAGGGCCAAAACAGACGGTAGTCAGTACCAAGGCATTGTTACCTCTGGCATTGGAAGGAGGGGCATCCAAGGCATCGCCGTTGATTGGATTGCAGGTAGAATTCTCATAGAAATTTAATTTGGACTATGAAAGTAATAATGTAGAACTAGAAAACACTTTACACGCCACTTTTGTACTAATCTGTATTTGCACTTTTATGCATTGTCATTTACTTTGCAATTGCACACAAGTGCTTTAACAACTTAAATGATATTGTTATTTTAATTTGCTACTGATATAAAGATGTTTATAGAGGCACATGTCAATGCTCTGGTTCCCGAAAGGACAGATGTGGCTGTAGATTTTCATTCCAACTTGGCAGGAGCGCACCAGACTCTACCCATTTCCTCAGGTCTTCAAGACTGGACTCACTTGGGGTAATGGGTGGAATGAAATGGAATGCCCCCAAACCAGCTCTTTAAGGACAGAGACAGTCTGTGTTTGTAGAGGGCTAATGTCTAATTGGTAAATACATTATTATGTGGAGACAGTAAAAGTGATTTTTTATTGGTTTTTATTTCATAGAGATACAGTATGTGCTGTAAGTTTGCCCAGTTATAACTACATAACTTTCATTGTATCTATAGGCAACTTGTACTTCACCAATGCCTTTTCAAGTGAGACGCTGCTTGAAGTCATGGCTATTAACACCAGCTATCGAATGATCCTCCTCAAGTCGTCTGAGGACCAGCCCTGTGACCTGGCAGTGAGCCCCAAGCTCCGCTATCTCTTCTGGACAGACGCTGGACAATTCCCCAAAATAGAGCGGGCTTTTCTGGATGGCACTAATCGAACAGTGCTGGCCTCAGAGAGCTTAGCAGCACCTCGAGGGCTAACTGTGGACTACACCAACGACTTCCTGTATTGGACCGATGACGTCCTTGATATGATTTCTCGAATGGCCCCAGATGGAACTCAGAGGCAGATCATCAGATATGGGAGCAGACTTCCTGCCCCTACAGCCGTGTCCATTTTGGGCAACAATATGCTGTGGGTCGACAGGAAATTGGGCAAACTCTTTCAAGCGAGTAAGGATCCAGCCAACTCTGACCAGCCTGAGGTAAGAATTAACAACAGTGTAGTAGTATAGTGCACTACAGTGCATATCATTTCAAGTTAAGTAGGACAACATGCAATTAAAATACTATATACTATATTTTTAGTGAAACATGTTACATTGATTAAAGCATTTTATCTCTCAGTCTTTTTAGTATGGTTGTTTGTGTTCCTATTACCAGGTGATAAGAGACAGTCTTGCTGGTCTTATGGACGTGGCTATTTTTGACGTGCATGTCCAGCCCATAGCTGCTCAACAAGTCGCCTTTAACCCCTGTCTCGAAGACAACGGACGCTGTCAGCAGTTCTGCTTCGCTTTGCCCGACCAAGAGAAGCCAAAGTGTGGCTGTGCTCATGGGTCTCTGCTCAATAACGGAGTCACGTGCGGCTATGGCCTCGATGAATTCCTCATCTTCACAACTGATGTCAGTGTCAACAGTCTCAGGCTCGACCCCCAGGACCACAGCACCCCTTTCCCAACGGTGACTTTGGGCAGCTACATCATGGGCACAGATTATGATTTCAAAGAAAAGAGGATTTTCTACACACAGTACACAGGTTACGGCAGGAGCAGAGTCGGCTACATCTCTACCTCATCCATCAGCAGCCCACCTGTGATTATCGCTTCAGGTCAGTGTTCGTCATTTATAAGACTAACAAACACTCCTGACCTCACCTCGTGCTGTGTGCTCCTCATTTCTGCTGTACTGGTGATGCAACACTGAAATTTCCCCACTGTCGGACAAATAAAGGATCTCTTCATCTTAATCAAATGCTGCTATGGTGCAGTAAAGACTATCTTTGTATTCTGTCTATTTCAGACCTGGATGATCCCGAGGGCATTGCTTATGACTGGATCAACAAGCGTCTCTATGTCACTGATGATTACAGTCGCCATGTCCTGTCCATGGGGCTCGATGGAAAGAACTACTCAATTGTCGCCAATGCAAACCGTCCTCGAGGCATCATTGTGGATCCATGTTACGGGTACAGTTCAGTTCTCTTAGATCAGGCATGTCAAACTCAGGCTTGTGGGCCATATCCAGCCCATGAGACAATATTTAGTGGCCCCTGAAATGATTTAAAATTTTCTTTTACGCAGTGAATTGCAGCATTGATGCTACTATGGCATGTTATACTGAAATTTTAAGCCTATTATCTCAGGAAAACAACCATATAATTGAATCTCTTATAAAATATTTACTGAGATGTAATTAGAAGTTATAGTTATTTGATTATTATTATCAGTCTTTCAATACATCTCTTATTGACATTTGGCTGAGTTTAGGTAAAATCCAAACCCACTAGAAAATAATATCCAAACAAAAATATATTAAAAGAAAAACCTTTTATACCATTTTTATATTTCTGGCCCCAACCAGCTCTTATGTTTTTAAATTTTGCCCTTGACCAAAATGAGTTTGACCCTCCTGTCTTAAATCATACATAGATAGCTTGTTACTTACAATGAAATAACTTTTCTTTTTTACAATCGGCACAGATACGTTTATTGGACTGACTGGGGTTACCCGGCCCAGATTGAGAGAGCCACCTTGGCTGGAAATTTCCGGATACCAATCGTCAACACCAGTCTGTCAATGCCCAATGGACTCTCTATTGATTATGAGGAGAGGATGCTTTACTGGGCCGATGCCTCACTGTATGTGTTTGTTATAAATTGGATAAATTAGATGAAAAGGAATAGCTTTAACCTCTTTGGTTTCCACAGAGACAAGATTGAGCGATCGACTTTGACAGGAGCAAACCGACAAGAAATCCTGATGGGAATCCCGTACCCTTTTGCACTGACTGTTTTCAAACAGGACATCTTCTGGACTGACTGGACCCAAAGAGGAGTCTTCAGAGCGGGAAAGGAAGACGGCTCAGACTTTGCGGTTCTGGCCCAAGAGCTGCAGTACAGACCTAATGATATCCATGTGTACGCTCCCTCAAAGCAGGAGAGCTGTAACAACACATGCACGCAGTTCAACGGGGGCTGTAGCCATGTATGTGTGTCCGGTAAGAGTTATCTATACATCTATATGTATTATCTATATGTAAAATATTACAGTAGTACGTCTGTGTTTCAGGACCATCAGGCCCAGAGTGTCAGTGTCCACACGAGGGTAAATGGTACTTAGCCAACAACGGGAAAGACTGCATCAAAGACACAGGGAGTCGCTGTACTCCGGAGCAGTTCACCTGCATGAACGGGGAGTGCATCAATGCGCGATGGAAGTGTGATGGCTACAAGGACTGTGACGACGAGTCCGACGAGCTGGAGAGAGTCTGTGGTGAGGAATAAAAGCTAATATAGTAAAGCACTGTGTGTGACCCTGGACTGTGAAATGTGCTTTATAGAGAAAATCTCACTTTCAACTCTCAAAAGATTGAACAATTTAATCCACGTTTATTTGTAGAGCGTTTCTCGTGCACAAGGATACAATCCCTCAGTTGTATGCACAGCTAAACAGAATTGTTTTTAACCTGGATTTGAACATTATCAGCAAAAAAACCTGCTCACATTTTCAGGAAGATTGTTGTTGATTTTTGCTGCATAATCCTGACACTGCATAATCCTGGCCTCAAAATGGGTAGTGCTGACTCTGGGCACCTGCAGGAGGCGAGTCCTTATGCAGAGTCTGAGAGACGTGTACACAAGCAGAGCTGTTAAAAAGTATTCACTGAGCCATGAGAATTTAGGTCTTGTTTATTTAAACAATTTCTTTCTATTTCTGGTTTTCTCATACATTTTGGACAGAAAAGTAAAAAAGAGAAGACCGCCCTCATTCAGCATGTGTTAAATAGTCACAAGGCTTGTTTGCAGAGAGAATACCATGTTTTCTAATAATGGTCTGATTTGCTCACAACATTTGACTTTTGGAAGACTGTCTGCTTTACTGAGTGTTTTTGCCCGCAGCCTTCCACACCTGCTCGGCGATGGACTTTACCTGTGACAATGGCCGCTGTGTCCCGCTCAGCTACGTCTGCGATTACACAAACGACTGTGGAGACAACAGCGACGAGAGAGGGTGTCCTTTCCCCACCTGTAACCCGGCAACCGAGTTCACCTGCACAAACGGCCGCTGCATCAGCGCCGACATGGTCTGTGACGGCCGCAACGACTGCAGAGACAACGCCACCTCAGACGAAGTCGACTGCCGTAAGAGTTCATGGACTTTACCGGAGCTCTCTAATGTGCTCTTTACGAAGATTTTCAATTCTATTAAATTCATTTTTGTATCGCCCTAAATCACAACAGTTTTTATCTTGAAGGACTTTACACAATCATAGAATTAACCAACACAGATCAGAGACTCAAACAGTTCAAACAAAATAAATAAAATGGAGAACACTTATGTATTGGTCCATTAGGGGCAGATGACCAATATCCATAAATGTTGAATATTTAGTGTCCTGGTTCACTGTCCTTTTATATTCAGTGTTGTTTACCCTTTCTGTGTTTCAGCTGACCGAACCTGCCCTTCAGGTCAAGTTAAATGTGAGAATACCAACATTTGCATTTATCCTGAGTATTTATGTGACGGTTACAACCACTGTGGAGACAACAGTGACGAGAATCCTCTCTTCTGCGGTGAGTTCAGTTCATCTTTTTACTTAATACTTTTATTTCAAGTAGTAATATCAAATATGATATTGTGTAACGTTAACAGCGGGTCGAACATGCTCTCCAAGTCAATTCCGCTGTGATCAAGGGAAGTGCATTCCTCAGTCTTGGGTCTGTGACGACTTTAAAGACTGTAAAGATGGGACAGATGAGCCGCCGTCGTGTCGTGAGTGATCTGCATTTGTTTTATTAATGATCAAAGAAAATACAACAATAATAATCCAATGCATTCACACTTTTCAACCTTATAAATAACAGAATAAATGTGTTTCATTTGTCATTGTTTATGTGTTGTTGTTCAGAGGACATCATCAGCACATGCAGCTCGAGCCAGTTCACCTGCACGAGTGGAAACTGCATCCCTCTGACTCTGGTCTGTGACGGCAACAACGACTGTGGAGACAACAGTGACGAGGCTCCAGAATTACAGTGTGGTGAGGGCATAAAACTAATGTCATGCTGTTGTGGACAAAGTGAAAGAGTGAAAACACTACTTTGGCACGTGAAGGTGTTATGACCATTTTCATAATAATCCAAGAGAAACAAGTGTCTTTGTGGGATTTGTGAAAGTAATGAGAGACATACATAGTAAATGTATTCATTGGGAATTTAAGCTGTAGCAGAAGCTGTCACACATCTAAACCCCCTGATGCCAAACAGTCTTTGTGTCTCTGAACGACACAAAGACTTTCTGTATTTTATGTTCCTTGTGTTATTAATGTAAATAATTATAACTTTCTTCTACAAAGGTCAGCGCACGTGCAGTTCAAATCAGTTTACATGTCCAACCTGGCATCCCGGCCACCCGCGCTGCGTTCCTTTGTCTTTTGTCTGCGATGGAGAAAAGGACTGTGCAAACGCGGCGGATGAGCTTCAAAACTGCCCGAACAGAACTTGTCATCTGAATGAGTTCGCCTGCTCCAACGGACGCTGCATTTTCCTGCCATACCAGTAAGTACAGTCTTCAATTAAATTCAATTAAATTTCCATTTAGTGTTGTACAGCCCGAAATCACAACAGTAGTTATCCCAGAGGACTTTGCTAATACAGATCAGAGAATCAAAAGTTCAAACACAAGACATGCAATGATTTAAAAACACACATAGCAATTGGTCCATAAGGGGCAGATGACCAATGTCTATAAATATCCTCATGTCGAGTGTCCTGGATCATCACCACTGTCCTTAGACCCCCTTTGTGATAATACTTAGTCAGATTGTCACAAGTCTAACAGTGTTGTTGTTCTGCAGCTGTGACCGCGTAAACGACTGTGGCGATGGCAGTGACGAGCTGGGCTGCACCTACGACACCTGCGCCTCAGACCACTTCACCTGCAAAAACGGAGCGTGTGTTTCGAGCACTTACGTCTGTGATGGCGAGGTGGACTGTCTGGACGGCTCTGACGAGGAGGAGAGTCTGTGTGTGACCCCTCACCCCACCTGCGCCCCCAACCAGTTCCTCTGCAAGAGCGGAGAGTGCATCGACCTCCACAAGGTCTGCAACGGTCAGAAGGACTGTTCGGACAGCAGTGACGAGAAAGGCTGCGGTAAGAAGCTGGTTCCGTTCTCTTGTTTGTAGCTTTGTAATTTTTAGTAATGCATTGTGTGTTAAAGCTGGGCTACATGACTTTAAAATCACAAATAATTAAACTTTGAAACAGATTTCATCTAGGTTTCCTGCTCTCAAAAATATCACTAGGGTTTGTACTGTATGTACTTTTCGGCCTCTGACACATCTTATCAGCTTTCTCAGACAGAAAAGTGAAACATTGAAGACTACTCTTTCTCAGCAGATTGTAATGTGCCAGGATCCATGGAAGAGAGATTAAACGTGTAAAGCTAATACTGACACATAGAGGTTGTTTATTGATGTGAATATCATCCATCCATTTCTTCCCCTTAATCCATTTCTGGGTCAGGGGTGGCAGTCAGAGCTGCACCCAGTACACAGAGCACCAGCCCCTCACTGATCCTCCTGCCACCTGCAGGAGGATGAGTGAGTCCACAGGAGCTGAGATCTATCAGCGTGAGCTTCAGACAAAGTGGGGTTAAGTGTCTTTCCCAAGGACACAACGACAGCAATCATCAGTGGGAGTGGTGAAGTAGGTCTTATGGTGGGCTTGAACCCACGACCTTCCGGCTCTAATGCCAATGCTCTACTAACTGAGCCACTGTCGCCCCAATGTGAATCTTATTATGATGTGAATATCATAATAAGATAAAAGATTCTCCTTTATTGTCTCCCATATGAGAAATGCATCTTGGGACAGGGGTTCACAGGCTTTACACCACATATATTTGCATTCACCACAGAAGTCAGTAAATATCAAACAGACCAAAATAGATACAGACTGGGACCGAGAATAACTGTAAATGAGAAGACAGGCGAAAGAACCCCCCACAATCTTGTCCTTCAGAAAACGTAAAGTGCAATCTATTATCATCAACCTTTCTGATCCTTGCTGTCCAGGAATCAACGAGTGCCGCAGCCCCTCTGTGCATAAATGCGCCCAGCTCTGCACGGACACACCCACCGGATACTTCTGCTCCTGTAACCCGGGCTACAGCCTGATGCCTGATGAGAAAGCCTGCGAGGACATCAACGAGTGTGAGAGCACGCCTTCCGTCTGCAGCCAGCTCTGCGACAACAACGTGGGCTCTTACTTCTGCAGGTGCGCCCCCGGCTACATAAGAGAGCCGGACGGACGCACCTGCCGCCAGAACAGCGGCCTCAGCCCCTACCTGCTCTACAGCAACCGCTACTACATCCGCAACCTGACCACCGACGGTTCCCAGCTGAGCATCGTGCTGCAGGGGCTGTCCCACGCCATCGCTCTGGACTTCGACCACTCGGAGAAGAGGCTCTACTGGCTGGATATCGGAGTTGGGAAGATTGAGAGAATGCGCCTGGATGGGACAGAAAGAGAGACCCTGGCTGACAACAGTATTTTGGGAGCAGAAGGCATTGCTGTGGACTGGGTTGGCAGGTACATGTGGGGTACATGTGTTTTGACATGAGAAGGAAGGTTCTGAACTAAAAAAATGGCTTGAATTAGGTTTCATTTACAACAAGATTTGCTAATAGGAGAAGCCAATTCTCACTTGGAATGAGAAGTACATTACCTCTGTGCATGAAATAACACATTTTTACTTGTCCCATTGGAAAGCAAAAGTGTTGTTTAAGAAGGTAGATCAACAGTAGACTAAAATAATAAAGTCAGTAATTTTTTTTTATCTTGAGTCACACTTTGAGATACATTTTGTAACTTAAAAAAACATAATAATAATTTTATTATTTATTGCTGTGGTGAAAGGATTGCAATTTTCTTCATAAAAGTACATGTTTTAACTATTTATTCTGTTTATTTCAGATTAGACTTCTTGTAACAGTGACATAAAATAGATACATATTAATATTACCCTCTATAACAATCTACCTCTGTAATGTCTAGGCCTTAGAAGTCCTTGCATTGAGTGAATTTTATAGTTGGTAAGTTATTTTCCTGTTACAGAAAGATGTATTGGACAGACAGCTTCTATGGCTCGCTTCATGTTATGGAGCTGGACGGTCGCAACAAGAAAAAACTCATCACCGGTCACTTCCAAGAGGGAAACACCACCTACACCATCACTCGGCCTCACGCTGTCGCTGTCAACCCTAAACATGGGTAAAACAAACGGACCCCCTTTACAGCTGTGGTTTTAGACTATTTAGGCCGTTGTTTAGGGATCCTCTTGTTTTCCAGGTGGCTGTATTGGACAGACTGGGCAGACATTCCGTTTATTGGCAGAGCTGGAATGGATGGAAGCAACATCAGCGCTATCATCAAGACAAAGCTGGAGTGGCCCAATGCTTTAACTATCGACTACACCACCAACAAGATCTTCTTTGCGGATGCTCATCTCAGTTATTTGGAGTAATGCTTAATATTTTTATGATTGAAGCTAATGATAAATTACTCAAAAGCATTAATACAACCTTAAATATGTGTAGCTTTGCGGACATGGATGGTAAGAATCGGCATCGGGCCATAGCTGGATCCCTGCCGCACGTGTTTGCCCTGACCCTGTTTGAGGACTGGGTTTACTGGACGGACTGGAACACTCACACTGTGGAGAAGGCCCACAAATACACCGGAGCAGAACGCACAATGATGAACAACAACACACACCGGCCGTACGACATCCACGTCTACCATCCGTACAGACAACCACGGAGTAAGATCAATACTTAGATCTGTTGTGTCTGAAAAAGTTTAGGTTCGATTGATGTTTTTGTATCTGTGCTTTAGGTGAAAATCCTTGCAGCTCTCATTATTTGACCTGCAGTCATCTGTGTCTGATCAAACCCGGGGGACAAGGAGCCACTTGTGTATGTCCAGATCACTTCATTGGACTCATGGTGGGCTTTAAAATCCAGTGTGTCGCGGACTGCTCCAGTACTCAGTTCAGATGTGGAGACAATGAAAAGTATGTTTATGTTTTTTCCTGACAAAAAGACATAAAAGAGAAAGTGAAAAAAACAGTTCCTCCATTATATACATGTTTCTGTTAAAATTATTGTTTAGTTTGTCTTTGTGTTTGTTATATTCAGGTGTGTGCCCATCTGGTGGAAGTGTGACGGTCAGTCGGACTGCGGCGACGGCTCAGACGAACCACAGACCTGCCCCCCTCGATACTGCCCCGTCGGCCAGTTCCAGTGTCAGGACGGGAACTGCACCCACCCCGGCTTCATCTGCGATGGCCACTCCGACTGCCCCGACCACTCCGACGAGGACGCGGCCCTGTGCAGTACGACCAGCTCCGCACTGAGAGCCACCGAGACGTTAATAGTTCACATTGTAACGATTATGTTTCTGCGCAGGTGACCACAGGTGTCAGGACAACCAGTTCCAGTGTAAAAATAAGCACTGCATCCCGGTGTCGTGGCACTGCGACGGGCTGAAGGACTGTGCGGACGGCAGCGACGAGGACCCGGACACCTGCTCCCAGCGCACCTGCCAACCGGGACAGTTCCAGTGCGCCAACGGCCTGTGCCTGCCCCAGAACTACGTGTGTGACGCCCAGGACGACTGCGGAGACGGGTCTGACGAGCCCTTTGAGACCTGCAGTGAGTGAGGCTGCTCAGGGACACACTGCAGACACATTACACTGGCTGCCAGGGTCTTGGAGCAAAAGCATTACTGTCCTCTATGGTCATCTATGAGCCCATGTGGCATATTATGGAATATTTAGTTCATGTGAAATCTTAGTATTGGGCTGAATTGATTTTTTTTTGCACACTTCTGTATTCAGTTCAGTTTGGTCTGAACAAAACAATGAATTATTTTTTTATTTTTTTTCGTATAACCCTGAATCAGTAACAGTAGTTTTCTCTGACTTCACAAAGCCGTTGATTTGCCAACAGAGAATTAAACAGTTAAAAACACAGGAGCCATTGGTCCATAAGGGGCAAATGTCCATAAATATTGATAAAGTTGTCCATCAACATTTATGGAGAATAGATCAATAGTTGTATAACTAGCAGCCAGTCTTTGCTCTGTGATAAACTGAGACAGGGGGAGGTCCCTGTCGCTTTGACATGTCCCAGAGGAAACCTGTGACAGTATTTTTCCCCTGTCCCTGGGACGGTAGGACTTAGTTTTGTGCCCTGTTTTGAACACAGTATGTAGTTTGTGGTAAGAAAATATTGACCCACTTACACTAAATCTGCACCCTTCATTACAAATATGCAACATAGTTCAACGGTTATGGCAAAATAAGTATGACTTTTTCACTTAATGCATTAACCAATGTATTTACCCAAGAACCCAAGGAAGCAAATATATACAAAATTGCCAAAATTGGTGTTGAATGCTGCTTTCCAGAAATCGCACAGATCATTTTTTTTCAACAAATATATTTATGTCTGGGTTCTACAGGGTTAAGCAAACGATTATTGTAACAAGCCACAAATGTCTTTGAAGCAGGGAAATAAACCAAGTCAGAAATAAAGACAATTCTTACATATTTCGTAGCTCAAGAATAAGAACCACATAATCACCATATTGAAAGGATGCTGAGATACAGTATTTAATGTTAGCAGAGTAGAGGTATTTGACCTTGAGATGTAATGTATTCATTTCTGTGCGTCTGTGCAGTGGGTCCTGAATACAAATGTGATGAGACGGAGTTTTCCTGTAAGACCAACTACCGCTGTGTTCCTCTGTGGGCGCGCTGCGACGGCACCAACGACTGCATCGACAACAGCGACGAGCAAGGATGTGGTCTGTCTGAACTTTAGTATCTGTGGAATTGGGGACAAAACACATAACAGGGTAAACACGTCAGTAAAAAGGCAAGGCAGGTTTATTTGTATAGCACATATCAGCTTTTTCAGACAGAAATATGAAAAAAGACACCCCTGGTCAAATTTTGATTAATATTTATGAAAGTCAGGTACCCCCTTTAAACTTATATTTATAGATAGATACTTAAATGATCCCCATCAGAAATAATCAGGTGTCCAGCAGCAGAAACACATCCATCCACACAAACACATACATTATAAGCATTTCTAACTCACATCAAACATTTAACTATCATCATCCAAACAGAGGCAGTGACCTGTGATCCTCTGGGAGATTTCCGCTGTGATAATCACCGCTGCGTTCCCATTCGCTGGAAATGTGACGGGAACAACGACTGTGGCGACGGATCGGATGAAAGGGACTGCCGTAAGAACCAAACTGTCCCAAACTTACTGAGCGTGATCCTGCAAAAAGACTCATGTATTATCGTCACTTGCAGAACCCCGGCCCTGTTCGGAGAGTGAATACAAGTGCGACGATGGCCAGTGCATTCCCGGCAAATGGGTGTGTGACCACGACAACGACTGCGGGGACAACTCGGACGAGCGGGACTGCGGTACGTCACATTCAAATTCTAGCTTTATTAAACTGGTACTAAACACAGCGTTCTGATGCCTCCCGTCCAGACCTGTACACGTGTCGCCCCGGCTCTTTCCAGTGCGACTCCGGTCACTGCATCCCAGAGTCTCTTCTGTGCGACGGCCGCGGTGACTGCACAGACCTGTCGGATGAAACCAGCTGCCGTAAGAAAGACGTTCACAATCTACACCTCAAGAATGCACCGAGACACCGTTGATTTTCTGTGGCCAATGTCTTTTTCTTTTTATGTTTGATGTGTGCTGATTTAAATAGACAATTTTATAGGCAAATTTCTCTTTTTTTTAAATAAATAAATACACACGGGCAAATATCAACAGGACAGAAGAAAGACTCAAAACTACAAGAGAAGAAATAAACAGCAAAAATAAAACAAATAATAATTTTTAGAAAGTGCACACCATAACAGAGGAATTTTACACAAATTATTTGAATTAATATTGATTTTGATATGCGATAAATCAGCCAGCCGATATCGGTCAATCTATGGTTTAAATCACACTCATTACTGAAGCTATGTTCCAAGTAACTGAGGGAACATTGCATTTGATCAATCAGCATCTCAAGAATGGCCGCTAATACTAGAATCGGCCAAAATGGCTTTAGTGAGGCCAATGCCTTTTTATATTTAAATTTGTTTAGTGCTGATTTAAATAGACAATTTCACAGGCAAATTTCCAATGCCACAAATACACAAGGGGGTTTGGTGCCAATACTAAGGCACTAATTCTTAGTGGGTCTAATGCTTTTATCAAATTACCGAAGCTACATATATCCCAAATAACCAAACAATGAAATTTGGTGTTGTCTATTATAGTGTGGGGGAACATATAAACGGTCATGCATCACTGGTAAAACAACATGTAACGATTATGTCTTGTTGTTGGTCCCTGTAGCCACTCGTTACCCAGGAGGCCGCTGGTGTCCGCAGCACCAGTTCGAGTGCACCAACCATCTGTGCATCAGCCAGAACTTTGTGTGCGACGGCAGCGACGACTGTGGCGACCGCTCCGATGAGCAGCTGGTTTTATGCTGTATGCTATTCATGATTCTCAAAACACAATCTGTTCATGTGGCACTTCCGGTATCCCGCGTATTATGAGTGCTTTGTGTTTATCCTCAAGTGAACGTCACCTGTGAGATGCCGAGCAAGTTCCGGTGTGCGAATGGCTACTGCGTCTACTCCGGACTGCTCTGCAACCAGAAGGACGACTGTGGTGACGGCAGCGATGAGAAAGAAGAGCTTTGTACGTGCACATACAGCACACAGTAATCAGCAGAGATTGAGTCCACAAAGGTTATACAGCAGGACCCTTGTTAATAAGGATTAGTTTGTTATCAGAGTAGATTAGAATGAACACAGGTTAACGATATGCTGCTTTACTGTGTGGTTGTTTACTCTCATTGAGACAGGAACCTAAAATATAAACCCAGTCTCCTCCTATCACATATTTCTTTAACTTTTGCTTCATCTCTCATTCTATTACCACTAGGGGTCACTCTAGGGATTGTATGGCGACTTTCTGTTCCTTTTGAGTGAATGCATCTTTAATCATCTATTCCTGAGCCTGTATAAGATTAGTTCTTGCGACTCTAATGCCGTATGAAGCTTAAAGACCGGAAAAGGGAAATCTCTAATTATAGGATCAGGAAAGATATAAAACTGTCAAACAATCATGTTACTTCAGTTAAATCAGATAAATGACATGTAGTTATTTCTAGTGGTGGGAATTGACAAAAATTTGATTACAGCAAGTATTGTGATTCGATTCTGCCATAGATATTGCAATTCTTGTCATAATATTATTCAAAAGCATTACAAAAATTTAACCTTATTATAGGACAAGACATAATTCTCTAAATAGGTGACCTCCCACATGAATGGTGAGCTCTCATATTAGTAAGTTAGATTGGAAAACAAAAAGGAAAAGGTCCAAGGCACTCTGATTTTGAATTAAAATCCTTTATTATTGTGTGTGACATTGAGACCTGGGTTTTCATTAAAGGTATAAAGGAGGATTTTCCAAAGTGATCCAGATAATTATTTAATATATTATTACAATACTCTTCTCTACTGTATCGATTCAATTGTTTGCGCAAAATATCGCAAAACTTGACAGAACTATATTTTCCCCACCACCAGTTACTTCACAACTTCATGTGTGAGGGCATGTAGGTATTTGCCGTGTTGGGAGTGGGATGTACACATATGCTTTGTGGATACTTGAGTAGTTGTTCTGCTGGTTCAGGTCGCGAGCCCACGCTGGCCCCCTGCACCTTGGACCAGTTCAAATGCACCAACGGCCACTGCGTTCCTCTGCCCTATGTGTGCGACCACAACGACAACTGCGGAGATCTCACTGATGAAATCGGCTGCAGTGAGTGACACAACAAAAACATTTAACTTCATAGATTCACTGTTTATTCCTACATTTCGTGATGTCACTTGTTGCTTCAGACTTCGGCCCCAATCGCCACTGTGAGGAGAAACTGTGTCAACAAGACTGTATGAACCTGAACGGGACAGGCTTCATCTGCTCCTGCCGATCCGGATACAAAGTGGACCTCGACAACACACTGAACTGCATTGGTACATTTGATTTATTAATATATGAATGATAAAGAACGATTTACATTTAATTAATGATGTTATTGTATCTTTCCCGTGCTCTCTGTAGACATAGATGAATGCGAGCAGTTTGACATTTGCCCTCAGATCTGTAAAAACACAAAAGGCAGCTATGACTGTGAGTGTGCCTCAGGATACAGGCGAGTGGGCGACGGGGACAAGTGTGAGGCAGAGGGTGAGCAAACCTACACTCTCGTAACTCTTATCATTAGGAAAGGAACAAAAATGACAAGTGTGTGATGTTTCAGGCCCCACACCGCTGCTGCTTCTGCCAGAAAACATTCGCATCCGGAGATTCAACCTGCAAACTCAGGCCTACCACGACTTCCTGCAGGAGGAGGAGCACATCATGGCCTTGGACTACGATTACGACCACAACAACACCGGATTCAGTACGGCCCCCACGCCGGCTCACACTAACACATTTCGCTGACATATATTTTTTTTACCAGGATTGTCCCATTGAGATTAAGAAACTGTTTTTAAGGGAGTCCTGGTCAAGAGGCAGAAAAAAATTCACACAGTTACATAAAATGACAGATTATAAAACAGTTACATGCCAATGAGGATGTCTCAAGTGCTGTCAATCTGGATTTAAAAGCATCCTAGTGTTGAAAAGTAGATAAAAATAAGGTAAATACCTGAAAGAAATTGTGCATTAGTCTCTTGCTCATATTTGCTCAAAAACATAATTAAAATGGACGATAAATGCTGTGGTCTAAGAGAAATCAAGGGACTGCAAGACAATATTCAAGACATCTCCCTCTCTCCTCCCTCTCTTTTCTTCCCTGATGTGGCTTTGTTATAAAGCCTGATAGAGTTATGGACAAAAGAGTGAATAATCTGTGGGTTTCAGGTATGGTCTACTTCACTGTTGCGAGTAAAGACGCAGTATCCGGGGTCATCAAGAGAGCGTACATTCCATCCATAGATGATGGCAGCAATAACATCGGAGCAGCTGTTGCCTTGGACATCAAATACATCACCTCCCCAGATGGCATCGCTGTGGACTGGGTCGGCAGGTAGGAGGGACATGTCACTGCGGGACTTGGGACAAAACCTTAACAAAAACAGTTTACTGATCTGTATTTAAATACATTTTCAAATTTATGAAACTCAATAGAATGTAGAGTCTAGTTTCAACCTGGGAGATTTCTGTATTAATGATTGTGTGCTCCTTATGATAATGAGAATAATCCAACTCAAATGTGCACTCAGACCTCCACAATCATCTTTAAGTCCTCAAATAAATAAAGCACACACGTTCAAAGATGTTTAAAAAAGTGTGATTAAAATAGTCTGCTTTTCTCTCTGCTTTTGTGCCGATAGAAACCTTTACTGGGCGGACTCCAGAGTGAAAAGACTAGAGGTGGCCATGTTAGACGGACGATACAGAAAACATCTGGTGAAGACTGACCTGGGTCACCCCTCCGCTGTGGCCCTTAACCCCCGTCTGGGGTGAGACAAAGATCATTTTATGATTTTTCAAGGACTGGACTCTTGTGCAAAATATATATTTGAGATTTTTCAATTACGTTTATTGTTGTATAGCCCTAAATCACAACTGCCGTCAATAGGGAGCGGTAAAACCAATTTCCATTAATGTTGATAAATGTCCCGGATCATAACTGTCCTTAGACCCTCCTGCACCTGCAAGAAGTAACACACACACCCACACAAACTCACACAAAATATCACAGGGAGACCAATATTGAGAGAGGGATCCGCTCCCACAGACTGAGGCAGTAGCTGACTAACGTTCCAATTGTATCTGCAATTAATGTTTACTAGTTAATTTCCATGTACTAAATTAATGAGTACTTTGATGCACTCAAGATTGTTGAAAATGTTAGACATTATTTCAAGCAATTGAAAAAATTCCATGCAATTGTGAACCTGTATATTCACCACACTTGAAAATTGGCCGTAGAATTCTGCTCTAACTGCTATTTTCTACTTGCGAACTGAGAGCAGATTGAGATGCTCCCACTTCACACACAAGTCCAACTGCGACTTTTAACACCAAATATATTCCTCAAAAACAGTGGATCAAGTTGTTAAACGGCATTTTAAAGTATAATGTTAGAAGTTTGTTAGCATGCGCTTTAACATGTGCTTCTTCTTTATGAATGATAATCATTTTCTGGAATGCATTGGGTGCTGGAAGCTGGTATTTTTCAAATGTGAGATATCCCACCTCCCATTAGCCTGGAAAGTCAAGTTACCCGAATATATTGTCTATTCAAGCTAATGCTTCTTGTAACTCGTCAGAATTAAAGCTGCACTAACTGACTTTGGGATTTTGAAGCCGCGGACTCGCTGGCCTCTCTCTTTCTGCTCCCCTCCCCGCACCCACGAAGCTACCCCCCCCCACACACACACACACACACCCACTGTTGGGACGGAGCTAGTGTCTCTCAATATGGATAATACATGGATATGGATTTGCACGTGGATGGCGTGACCATAGAACGATAGAACCGGGAAGCGCGGAGGAACGAGACTTTCTTTTGGATGGCTGTCTCGCTGTGTAAGCAGTAACCGGTGACGAAGACGCGGAAGCTTCAGGTTAGCTCCTCGGCTTGTTGTGCTAACTCAGCCGTCTATGCTAACGGACCTGTAGATTTCTCACGAAAGTGGGGGCTAGTGGTTCGCTGTGATTGGTCACAATCTGCGACCCGAAACACATTCTCTTCCTTGTTTCATCAAAACTCGATCTAAAATATAATGTCACGCCAGCACAAATCTGCACTACTTTTTCTTCAAAAGGACGTATATCCCAATGCCCTACACGGACATGGATAGCATTTTAGTAATTAATACAAAAATAAAGTCAGTTAGTGCAGCTTTAAGTCAATCCTCGTCAAAGGTACCTACAGAAAGAATAACAACCTGTAAGTAATGGAATGTCTGGCTGAGCAGCATTCACATCCGATGGAGGATATCTTATTTATAGGTCTGTACCACTTTAGAGATGGAACAATCTGCCAGTGAGTCCTGGGGAGCTGGGATTTTATGAATGAAGAAGAAACTGGAACGTGGCTTTTTCCAGGGGTCAGAAGAATCGTAATATTAGCTTGGGGCCAGGTGTGCATGCCCAGAGACTCCCACTAGCAAAGCACCAAGCACCACACAACAGGGAGACAAAGACACCAGGGAACAGACAGACACGTGGGAAACATAACACAAATATTGGTATCGTTTGGACAGGATGCTGTACTGGGCCGATCGCGGGACTTCGCCTAAGATCGAGTGCTCGTGGCTGGACGGTCAACAGAGAAAGGTCCTGGTGGGAGAGCAGCTGGGATGGCCCACGGGTTTGTCCGTAGACTACGCCAACAACGACCGCATCTACTGGTCTGACTCCAAAGAGAACCGCATCGAGTCCGTCCTGCCCTCCGGAGAAGGCCGACGAACCGCCGTCTTCATCGGTAAGAGAAAAGCAATGGACTTCTTAGTTTGGTAAAGTTCTAACATTGGTATGTTTGCTTATTTTAGATGTCCAGAACCCCCTCAGTGTGAGCGTGTTTGAGGACAGTGTCTATTGGAGCACGCAGGAGAAAGGCCAGGTCTACAGACAGGACAAGTTTGGGCGCGGCGTGAAGACCAAGCTCTTGACTGCTGGGCCTTGGCTCACTCAGGTGTCGCTGTATCAGAAGCAGCGATACAACTCGGTCAACAGTAAGTTTTTCTGGAGGGTAAATACACTTTCTTTCATAGAAGCAAAGGAACTGAGAAAATATTTTTGTTTCATTTCTCATTTCTTTGTTTTCATATCAGTTTTTATGTTTGTAGCAAATTTTTCCCTCAGTTTTCAGCGTAGAGTCAGTTTAAATTTGCAGTTTTCAGACCAGAAATTGACTGGACTGGAGCTGAGATTTCTCTACTCTGCAAACTAGGGCTGGGCAATAAATCGAATTTAGGCAATTAATCGTCTTTTGAAAAAATCCAATTTGTGAAAAATGTGAAAATTGTCCAATTGAATGAAGAATATTGTGAGAGTTCCAGCAGCACATGAATTATACTTGCAATATCAGCACAGTCTGTACAAGACTTTCATAATACGTATTGGAGGAAACAAATTAAAAATAGTTTTGAAACTTGAATATTGAGCGGAAAGATCAAAAAATAAATTAAGGGCAAAGTCTGTCTTCGGTCACTTGAAGAAATGAAAATCGATTTAAAATCAAAATTGTCGAAAGCAGGAAATAAAATCGAGATTTAACTTTTTAGCCATATCGCCCAGCCCTTCTGCTAACCTAAATTGAGGGAAAAGAGTCATGCAATCTTTCTCCTATACTCCTTGTTTTGGAGAAACAGGGAGAACAGAGAAATCATATATTTAATGTTTTTTCTTAATTATGCATTTATGTCATCAAATGAAGATCCCCCAACCCCTGTGTTGCAGTGTTCTTTGAAATGTCCCAAAATTACGATTACTTCACCGGACACAGATACATGTACATTGTCCAAATCTAACCACATTGTGACCTCAGAAGAATCGACACATGTCTTCAAAGTTGCTCAGTCCTGTCTCCGTCTCTGCAGTGATTAACCCGTGTAAAGGAACGTGCAGTCACCTGTGCCTGCTCCGTCCTGGAGGCTACAGCTGCGCCTGTCCTGAAGGAACCAGCTTCATCCAGGGCAGCAGCACAGAGTGTGACACTGGTACCAGCAGCAGAACCTTCTCATCATTGATCATCATTCTTCTTCTCATCTCATACATTTGTTTATTTGATCAGGGTTTGAGCCTCCTCCCACGATGCCGCCTCCCTGTCAGTGTCAAAACGGTGGAACATGTTACTTTTCTGACAACAAGGCTCTTTGCAGGTACAGAACCTTTACTTTACCATTTGACAAACTTAAAGTATAATCCTAGGATCCTAATAAACGCACTTTGTAAACATTCTGCTTCACAGGTGCACTCCCAGTTGGTACGGAGACTTTTGTGAGAAGAGCACGTCTGGTCTTTTGGCTACATCTGGTAGATTATACTAAAATACACACACATTCATTGTTTAGTTTAGCTTTTTAAGGACAATGTGCAGTTACATTAAAACGATGGCTGCACCAGATTTGGCTCCATGCTCCTTTCCAACTACAGTCCTTGACAATACAATCATATGAAATACACATTCCAATACAGTTAAAAAAGTGCAAGTTACCGTCACAATGTACAAAATACAATATTATTAGAATTTAGCAGCAAATGGAGACTGTGAAAACTACTGGTATAAGATGCAAAACAAGTCACAGTACAAAGCAAAGCAAGGTTTCTCACCCACTAATCCCTGTACAACTGAGAGCTTACACAAAGTCACAGTACAGTATTTAGCAGCGATATATAAAGTGTATATTCATTTTGTATTCACCTTCTGTTTCTTCAGCTGGAATCGCCATCGGGGTCACGGTGCTTATAATAGTTGTGCTGATTGGTTTTGTTTACACTGCACGTAAGAAGACTGGCCTCGTCGAAAGGTTACGGGCCAGTCTTCCCAGTATGCCCTCCATGCCTTCAATGCCCTCGATGCCCTCTATGCCCTCTGGCCCTGATCTGTCACGCTTCAGGTAAGAAGGTCAACAGTTGCATTTTATTGTATTCATAGTGGATTGGATCACACACCAGTCCAAACTGTATTCATGGTTTCAGCTTCCTGTTTATTCACATCAGAAATGTAGGTTTAAAATGACTTCATTCTGGTATTTGAGGATAAGTATATATTTTGAGTTAGGGTGATCTAGAATGATGTAAGGAAAGTAATTATTAATCTTATTTTTTACCACATCCCTTTTTTTTATCTTTATTGATTTAAAATAGAGGTTGAACAGGTTGAAAGTGGCGTGGCATTTTTTGGGTACGGGATTACTGCAATATGTTTTTTTATTATCATTTAACTTGGGAACATGTAGATCCAATCTTTGAATGAATTAATCAAATGCAAAGGATTTACTCAGTTTCTGCTCTCAATCTGAATTTAAGAAAAACAATTGATGATGCAAATATGTTTTCAGAAATGGTTTCTCCTCTAACAGCCCGAAGACAGAGATGAATCCCACAAGTGTAAATCCTGCTGCTGAGGTCGGTGCAGAAACAATACTGCAATATTCACAGGAGCATTCACACTCAGTGCAGTCGAAGTGGACTCTGGTTCACTTGGATACAGACTGTTTGTGGAGAAGTGAAAATATGAAACACTACTGCACTAGTCACCTCAGTCAGTCTACTTTGCTTCAGAAGTGACCCGAGTCCACTTACACCCATAAGTGTGAAAGTGCCCCTGTTGTCTGTCTAAATATATTCAAAACCAGTGATTTCATCCTTGTGTAACTCAGGTGCCGGTGCCCACTCTGCCGCCAGAGGACAAGAGCTTCGAGAACCCGGCGTATGTGGCAGAGACACAGCCTTTCTCCTCCAGCGCAGCAGCGTCTATGTCTCCACCGTCCACCAGTTCAGTCCCAGTGAGTCACGAGATTACAGTTTGTTATAGAGAGATGCTTTGGTTAACACTGGGACTCCCACAGCAGTCAATTTGATGGCTTTTAGTTTTGGAAGTGTCATTCCTCAGCTCATGTACCTTTTTTGGTCTTCATAAATGTGTGACTTTTACTGTTTCTATATGTAGTTTATTTTGATTTCATTATTGAAACTGCTGGTCCTGGTTGGGGTCTGGTTCAGAGATTTCCACCAGAAACAGCAAATGCAAGTTACCATAGCAACACAGTTTTTTCAATCAGCAATTAGTGTTAGCCTTCCAATAAACTGTTGCTGTATTTCAGTTATATTCTCCAGTTTTGTGTAAGATACTTTTAGGGGAATTTCTCAGAATTCTATGGGTTTGAATTAGTGGGGCAGGTCCCGGCTCAAAAGGGTCCATGAATGTGCAGTGACAGGCCTGTAATCTGACGCCTTGCCGGTGGTGGTGTACCCGGAAACAGAAATATCCAATGAATTCTTATGGCGTCCTTTTTCCTCTTGAAAACAGCTTTTACAACCTGGTCCAGAAGTCGGCTCTTGGCCCAATGCAAAGTTCCGGATGTGTGTCAATGCTTTTTTTTTTGGGACCAGTCTAGTTTAACCGCTGTAGACTTTTAAATGCACTCGTTAAATGAATGGGGCTCGTGTTGGCTAACGCATGCACAAATGCATTTTTTTCACACTTTACTGCATGAGTGGCTGCCCACAGTCATTTTAAAATTGTGCATGTCTTTCACACATACATTTCAACGGAGGAAATGGGCGTCACTACGTTGAATGAGAGCAGTCTAATAGACGGCTGTGGGAGTTCTAGTAGTTTCAAAATTGGGGTATTTCTATTGTTAACGATGATGAAAACGATGTATGTGTCTGATCTGCAAAAGTTATTACAAATCAATGTTTTTTGTTAGAAAAGTGGGAGTAACCCGTTGTACATGGATGAGCTGCAGGTGGTGAGTGAGCCTCCAGATGTTGCAGCTAACGAGGTGAAACCAGCAGCTGTTGATGTGAATTGTGTGTTTGTTTTTGTGGTTCTAAACGTGACTTTTGTTGTGCGTCAGGAGCCTTTGGAAACGGATACTGAGTTCACGAACGCGGCTGCTCCCAACACTGTGGTATGTATCGACAAACCCCAGCAGTAGTTTTAACTTGTAACAATATTCCAGATAAAAATGATGGTGAAACAGTTGGAGATTGCGATCTGTTGGCTCAAATTAATCAATATTTTGGTTTTTATTCTCAGACTTTCAACCCCATCAGTGATTTTGACTCTATGGGTGGCTTCCAGAACCCCATATACACTGTGAGTAACACCTCAAACTAGTGCTAATATTTATTTTATTTAGACTTTATTAATGCAGGGACAGGATCCATTGCTACTGCCTTTTCATATGTTTTCCTTCTGTTTCCAAGGACAACCGCACCGACTCCGACATATGATCATCACGGCCGAAGAAGTTCAAAATAATATACTTCTTTATACAGTAATTACAAGTGAAAACCATAATTATTGTATATAAAAATATATTTTTGTATAATTAAATTAAAAACTCATAATGTTAATGAATTTTATCTTGTTTTCTTGTTTATTAAAGTTTCAAAAACAACCAACAAATTATTGTTTTTTATTTATTTACAATATCACACATGCTCCCATGGCAACTCATTCATTTCATTGTATCTTACAAACAAACTCTGAATGTTCTTATTACACTAGGACTCAGAGCAGTCAATTTGACGGCTTATTCTTTTGGCAGTGTAGTTACTCATATTCAGTCTTCAGAACCTTCATTTGTTTATATGTATGAAATAATCGTTTATTTAGTCTTTTATTAGTCGTTTGACTGTAGCATTCAAAAGTATTTTTTTCTCTGGAAGTGAAAACTACTTTTTCCACTGCAACAGTGTGTTACCATAGCAACACACTGTTTACTGTCAGCGGTTAGTATTTGCATTTCAACAAACGGTTTGCTTTGTTTTCAGGGTTTAGTCCAGGCCAGTTTTAGTATAAAAGTGAATAAGATGAATAACCTTATAGATGACTTTTTACACTACTCCCAGAGTCGTCATTTTGACTTCTTCAATACAAACCGATAGAATTATGGGAAATCCCCCCAAAAAGTGAGGGGAAGGGGTTTACCTTTACTCACTTTTATTCAGTACGAAAAACTGAATAACAAATACAGCAAAAAACCGTTAGATGACAAGTGTGTTGCCATGGTAACTAGCACTCGCTTTGTCTTAGAAACTACGTACATTTCAAAAGTAAAAAACATTTCACAAAAATAACAGACATAAACTACATATAGACACAGAAACGTCACACAGTTATGAAGACCACAAATGTACATACAGTCAGTAATTACGCTTTTGAAACTAAAAGCCGTAAAATTGACTGCTTTGGGAATTCTCGTAGTTCCAGATTGGTGGAAGTCAACGCGTGAAGGAGAGACGTGTGTCTGTCTCCTTCATGTGTGATAGGGCAGTAATCTCTCTTTTGTTAAAAATGTCTTCACACAATCAAGGGCTTCTCTCCTGAGGATCAACATTGAGGCCAAGAATGAGAGACGAGGGAGACGAAAGCTTTATCTTTTTTATGCATGTTCTCCTCGTTCAAAGACTCCCAGTTCGCTCTTCAAACCCTGCTCCAGACAGAAAGACACCGATGAGAAATAATTGTAATTGACTGGTGGAAGAGGGGAGTGGGGATTCTCCTGGGAGCCCTGTGCACCGTGCTGCGTTTATGTGTTCAAAGAAAAATGGGAAAACGTACTATCGACTCTGATTTTGTAGAATTGTAGTATACAAACATGAGACATGAGCTCGCTTTTGTCTCATTTGATTTAATTGGGAAAGTGTGTTGCAGCCCGAGTTCGGATTCTAAATCAAAAATCCGTATTCAGTTTTTCTTGTTGGTTGATCCAAGAATGGCTATAGAAGCATGGTTTGTTCTTCCTCTTCTGACATATCGCTTTTGTTCCAGGTTTACAAGTTTTGTAGAGGAATAAAAAGTTTACTGAAAAGTACAGCAAGGCGACTGCACTCTCCAGAAGAAAGCGGTAATAATGCATCTGATGCAATGGATTTTTTTTTTTTTTTTAACCAAGTGTTATCTACAATAAAATAACAAATGATGTGATTTTTTTCCCTTGGTTCCTTTTGTAATGTTCTTTATTTGTATAATAATTGGAACCACACCAAAATTGTTTGTATTTGTAATAATAACAATAATAATAATTAATCCAGCTAAAAATCACACAACTGGGACTTTAAATGGAAGATTGGAAACTGTCTTATTGTATAATTATTTTAAATACATTAATTATTCTGTGACTGAGGCACTTATTCTTCTGGTTTTATGATTGTAATGTCCATCCATCCATCCATTTTCTACCCTTTAATCCATTTCTGGGTCAGGGGGGTGGCAGTCAGATGATTGTAATGTCACCTCTCTTATTTTTTTGACAATTCATACAGTAGCCCGGTGAATGCATTGTGCCTTATAATAAAACTTGCCCCGGGGCTTGTGATGCGAACGTGCCCAGATCTGGAACAAGAACTAAGAAATAAAAACGACTTCTGCGAATCTTTTACGTGGTGTACTTGAACGCAGCACAGCAGTAGCGGCAGAGGATGAGGGAGTGAGGGGGGGTGATAATGAGGAGGGGGTGAGGATGAGGGGGGGGGACTTCCTCACCGCCACAAACACAAACCAAAGCGAACGTGACTCCGCCGTGGATCTAGCGTCGGTCCTGCATTGGCGGACAAAGAGCCCCGACCCGCGGCGACAGGCATCTCCCGCTGCCCCTGGTGCTCCTGGTGCTTCTGGTGCTCCCGTGCGTGTGTGCTGAGGATCGTGCACGCGGTTTGAGGAAAGACCATAGACCGTAAAGACGCGCACCTTCCTGCGGGGAGAAGGGTCCGCTGTGAGGTAAACACACTGACTGTAAATGTGAAGCCACCGCAGGCTCTGGATCCTGGACACAGAGGTTTGCACAAGTGTCTCTTTTTAATCACACTGCAACAACACTGCTCTGTTCAGACCTGCATCTGCAACACGTTAAACTAATTCTTATATTACAGGCACATAATGGATCTATGCATGTTATATATATATATTAACCGCGTCTTTCCATAAATGTGACCTGCAGCGTGTGCAAACCTGCTTTTATCGCTACATGCATAACATTAAATGATATTAAATGTTTCAGATCAGACTAAAACACCTGCTCAAAGTCCCCAGATACAAACGGTTGTAAAATATATATGTTATTATTACTACATGTTTTTAAGTATTAACATTGTGTATATACATTACGAGGCGGTGAAGAGACGCAGCCGTCATATACCGTCTCTGAGTGCATCCTGTTAATTCCTAAATATCATGTTAATTCCTAAATATTTAGTATTGAATATTTTAATAATTTCTGTTATTCTAATTATTTGATTTATTTTTACTTTGACATTATTCCATCATGTGCCATTGTCCTAGGTTAAAGAAGCCAATATGTGATTGGCTCAAATTAGTAGACAATAAGTAATATCCCTAATGAACTTTCTGTTGTGTGTGTGTGTTTTTATGACATTACACTATTCCCCTGCTTCATCTTCATCCTCCTCTTCCTCAGACACAAGTGACAGTGTCTTCTTCCCAGTTTCCTCTTTTGACAATTGAAGTTTTCGACTCACATGGTTTACTTCATAATCTTCTTATCGTCTGCCTCTTGACCTCATCTGATTTTTCTTTCAAATCTCAAAGTATCAGCAAAATGAATGTCGTACACAGTCGGGAAATCCCTCAGACTCCTCCTGGTCCCGGTCTTTCCAGAACCAGGCATTTCATCTGTGGTGGTTGCTCAAAGAGAATGAAGAAAAAAAACATAAAGTAGTCTTACTATAATTTTAATGGCCAAAATAATACATCATATTTAAATGCATGGATGGATTTTCAAATTTTTTTTTTTTTTTTGGCTTCCATTTTGCATAAGTGCGAATTTTTTTTGCATTTTATTAATATTCTAATTGACATAACACTGAGGGAGATATGTCTCTGGTTCCAACAACCACATTATTCACATTATATCTGTGGGTGCCCTGGTATCGTCCCGGGATCTCGGAGAATCTGTCATTTCCGATTCTAAAGTGAACAATAGTATGTGTACAAACAAACAAGAAATACATACAGTACGGAATAATCTGTGATCTTCTCTGTGTGTGCGTGCGTGCGTGTGTGTGTGTGTGTGCGTGTGTGTGTGTGTATGTGACTTTAATATTTACAGTCTATGGTGTGACTGTGTGTGTAGGTCACTGTTATTGCTGGATATTATCACAGAAGTGTTAAGAAATTTAGTTTTCACAGCGTGAGGACAGTGTTTTGTGTGTGCGTGTGCGTGTGCGTGTGTGCGTGCGTGTGTGTGTGTGCGCTTCTGACGCAAACAACGTGCTGTGTTATGGGGCTTTCAAAGGGAGAGTGTTGGCTTTCCATGAGCGAGCACCGGTGTGTGTCTCTCTGCACACACCGGTTAACATTTAAGTGGTTTTTACTGTGGCTTTGCTCTGGTTTTACTCTGATTTTACTCTGGTCTTGCTGCGGTTTTACTCTGGTCTTGCTGTAGTTTTGCTGTAGTTTTGCTCTGGTTTTACTCTGACAGAGAGTCTGGTTTTGCTCTGATTTTACTCTGGTCTTGCTGTAGTTTTGCTGTGTCTCCAGGGCTCAGTGCGTCTCCGCTCGTGACGTCCCAGCGGCACACGGGACAGAGGAAGCAGGTGGCGTGCGAGCGGGACGGGGGCACGGGGTTAAGCCTCCAAACACAATGTCGCTACAATAAAGTGGCACACACAGGCTCCACTCAGGTCCAATCTGGATCTGAGAGGATCGCAATCTCATCAGCGTTTTACACAAGTATTGGTTCTTGCGGCTGCCGGTAAAATGAAAAGTACTCAGTGAGCTTAGGAGTCTTCGGTCCAAGTCCTGTTCCTAATATTACGCTCTAGGGGCTTGTGTGTTTAATCCCTGTGTGTTAGAATAGGTCCTTTGCAAAAACAGATGAAGTGAAATTTACAAAGTTGTTTAGTGAGAAGCCAGATCTGTTTTAGTGCCGCACAAAGACAGCTTCACTTCTTCTTTCCAATGTGCTGCCGACACCGGAACATGTTGAAGATCGTGGCCAGAGGAAAACAACTTTTTGACAGATAAAAAAACGGTCATATCTGCTTTTGCAAAATATCAATCAATCCCTGTCACATCAGGCATAAATCATAAACATTAAAGGAGCTATACCCGTTTCTGCTAAGTTTACTCCATCTAGTTTTATTTGTGATCTGATAATGAAAAATTACCGCTAGTTTCGCGTCCAAATGTCCGATCATAGATAGTCCGAGGCGGTCCCTCTCCCGCTGGTCGCTCCAGAGGATAGGCAAGGCAAGTTAGGCAAGGCAAGTTTATTTATATAGCACAATTCGTACACAAGGCAATTCAAAGTGCTGAACAAAACAAGAAAGCATTAAAATCATAAATAATCACAGAACATTAAAAAGAAAGATAAAAATATAAAATCCCTCAGTTGTATGCACAGCTAAACAGAACTGTCTTTAACCTGGTTTTAAACATTGTCATTGAGGAGGCCTGTTTCACATCTTCAGGAAGACTGTTGCAGATTTTAGCAGCATGAATCTGAAAAGCAGCCTCCCCATGTTTATTTCTGACTCTGGGCACTAACAGGAGTCCAGTCCCTGTGCTCCTCAGAGTCCGGGCTGGTTCATATGGGACTAACCTTGGTGCGAGGCCATGGAGAGACTTGTACACAAGCAGAGCTGTTTTAAAGTCTATTCTCTGAGCCACAGGAAGCCAGTGCAGAGACCTGAGGACTGGACTAATGTGGTCGTACTTCCTGGTTCTAGTCAGGACTCGAGCTGCTGCATTTTGAATGTACTGCAGCTGTTTTACAGCCTGTTTGGACAGACCTGTGAGCAGGCCATTGCAGTAGTCTAACCTACTGGAGACAAATGCATGGATAAGAATCTCCAAGTCTGCTTTAGACACTATGTTTTTGATCCTGGCAATGTTTTTTAGATGGTAAAAAGCTGCTGATGTTACTGATTTGATGTGGCTATTAAAATTTAAGTCTGAGTCCTAGATTTCTGACCTTGTTTGAAGGTTTTAGGGAGAGAGACTGTAGGTGACAGATGACACTCTCTCTTTGTTTCTGGGGACCAAAGACAATCATTTCAGTTTTGTCTGCGTTTAGCTGAAGGAAGTTGTTTTGCATCCACTCACTGATCTGTTGGATACAGTGAAGGAGTGAGTCCACTGGTCCATGTTCTCCTGCAGTCAGTGAGACAGACACTTCGTTTCTGCGTATTAACTGACCTAACGGCAGCATGTAGAGATTGAACAGAAGAGGTCCCAGGATCGACCCCTGTGGTACTCCACAGGTCAGGGCCATATGATCTGAGACACAGTTTCCAATCTCCACAAAGTACTTCCTGTCTTCAAGGTAAGACCTAAACCTAAACTTAGGGCGGTGCCAGCGACGCCAACCCAGTCCTCTAATCTCTGTAAGAGGATCTCATGGTCGACAGTGTCAAAGGCAGCACTCAGATCTAACAGGATTAAGATTGAGACTTTGCCTGCGTCAGTGTTCAGCCGGATATCGTTTGTAACCTTAACGAGAGCAGTCTCAGTGCTGTGGTGGGGTCTAAAGCCGGACTGAAACATATCAAATGAGTTGTTGATTATAAGAAATCTAGTAAGCTGTAGGTAGACAACTTTCTCAAGGACTTTCCCCATAAATGGCAGATTTGAGATGGGACGATAGTTGTTAAGTACCGTAGCATCGAGACTGCTCTTTTTTAGCAGGGGCCTGATGACTGCAGTTTTCAGGGCCTTTGGGAATATTCCAGAATGAAAGGACATGTTTACTATCTGTGTGAGTGAAGGTAACAGACTGCTCAGAACAGACTTCAGAAATCTAGTGGGTAGTACATCCAAGCTGCATGTGGAGGAGCTCAAACTGGAGATTATCTCTTGGACAGTTTTATCATTTACAGGTGCAAAGTGAGTTAGCTCAGAGAGCCTTTCTGGCTGTTGGATTGTTATCTGTGGATTGGAGACAATGGCGTTTTTGATGTCTTGAACCTTGTCATTGAAAAAATTAGCAAACTCATTGCATTTACGTTTGGAAGTTAGCTCTAATGGCATCTGAACAGGGGGGTTTGTTAATCTATTAACTGTTGAGAACAGAACACGCAGATTGTTGCTGCAGCCTTCAATCATTTCAGAAAAATACCTTTCTCTCGTAGTACGTAGCACCCGGTTAAACTCGCACAACTTATCTTTGAAGATCTCGTAATCAACCTGGAGGTTGGACTTGCGCCACTTCCGCTCGACCCTCCGGCACTTTCTCTTTTGTGCCCTGACCGAGTCTGCTTTAGCCCACGGCGCCTTCTGCTTATTTTTCACTATTTTAACCTTCACAGGGGCAACGGTATCCAGAACTTTCAAAACACTAGAGGTGACAGAGTTAAACAGTTCATCTACAGTAGAATACGATGCATTCTCAAAGTTCATTCCCATAAATAGTTCACTCGTATTTTCATTTATGTGCCTTCTTCGAACAGTTGCAGAGTCCACTGGTGGTTTGTTAGTGAAACACATGTCAAAAAATACACAGAAATGATCCGAAAGAGCAACATCGACCACGTTTACATTTTAAATATTCATCCCCTTAGTAACTAACAGATCTAGAGTGTGCCCTCTGCTGTGGGTGGGGCCACTCACGTGCTGAGTGAGATCAAAGGATTCAAGTACAGAACTCAGCTCATTTGCATTTCTGTCATCAACATTATCCACATGAATATTAAAATCACCTGTAATAACCAAACTATCAAAATCTGTGCATACAACTGAAAGCAACTCGGTAAAATGATCAATAAAACTGTGACATGACTGCGGTGGCTTGTATAGGACAATGAAGAGTATTGGAGGAGATTGTTTTTGTTGTATTTTAAAAGACACATTTTCAAAAGACAAACACTTCCCAAGAGACATTCTATGGGAGACAAAGTGGTCTCTAAAAATGGCAGCTAAGCCTCCTCCTTTTTTGTTTTCCCGTATTTCAGATTCAAACTTGAAATTTGGTGGTGATGCTTCTATTAAAACTGCATTTCCTGAATTTTGGACAAGCCAAGTTTCAGCCATGAACATAAGATCAAGATTATGAGAACAAATAAAATTATTGATTAAAAAAGACTTGTTACAAAGAGATCTGACATTAAGCGTAGCAAGTTTCAAAGTTTCAGTATCAGCGGTTGTGGTCGGCTGATTCTTACACAGAACAAGAATTAGATTTTCCAGATTAGACTGATTAACTCCAGATGTTTTTCTGTAATGTATTCTTTGTGTTATCACTAAAGGAATGGCACAGGTGGCTTCATGACAGGGCCCCAGCCGGGTCTCTCCTCTAACTAGACTGCCAGTGGCTGCGAAGCAGAGACCCTGTGCATCCTAGTGTTTAGAGAAAAGAGGGGAAGGGGAAGGCGGGGGAGGAGGATGGAGAGGTGGGTGGCTTTTGGGTGTTGAACGAGGAGGGGCAGGGAGGTGGAGGGGTTTTAGGTGATGGGTTAGGGCCGGGGTGGGCTGAGGCAGAGGTTTTGGGTGTTGAACGAGGGGGAAGTGGGGGTGGAATTGTCATGAGGTTAGGGGAGGGACTGGCTGAGGTGGTTTTTGTAGGTGAATTGGAAACCCTAGGTGGTTTTGGAGGTACATATGGGGAGTGGTTTAGCATGTTGGACAGGACTCTAGATCGAGCTAATATGGGTGTGAGAGGAATAGTCTTCATCGCCGATTTTATTAACCCTGCAGAGTGTTCAGGTAGGTCTAACAGTGAAGGCGGGGATGAAAAACAAAGGGAGGTGTCCCCATTCTCTCTTGATGGAGTGGACGTGGCAGGGGGGACCCAAGACAGGTCCATGGGAGGTGGCGAGGGAGTCTTTGATGGAGGGGCAGGTGGTTGAGGAAACCCCCGCACAGGCCTGTCTGCTGTAGGCTGGGGTGAGGATGGGGGCTTCAGAGGCGCTGTAGATGAAGAAGGCGTGGCTGCTTTGGAGCAGGCTAGGGATGAGGATGTTGGTGGTGGTGGTCGTGCTGCTGGTGCTGCTACTGGTGATGATACAGCTGCTGGTGATGATGCAGCTGCTTCTGATGACAGTGGAGGTGTTGAGATCCTTCGAGGTGGTGGAGGTGTTGAGATCCTTCGAGGTGGTGGAGGTGCAGAGACTTTTAGAGTCGGCTTCCTCCCTTTCGATGGCTGCACGCGCTGCGCAGGCTGAGGTCTCAGGGCAAAAGAAAGGTTATCCATCAACACTTTTACTCCGTAAGTGTTCAGAACATTCGTTGAGTAGGAAAGTATTTAGCTGATACAGACGACTGAATTTCATTTGCTTCCCGTCCACATTTGGTAGTGGGCCACTGATAACGATTGTTGCGTCCATTTTAGCAAGGTCGTCCAATAAGAGAGAGTAATCCCGTTTCAACTTTTCACTTGTGTTGTCATAGACGTCTACTGCCCCCACGTGGATCAACAATCTTTTTACCCCGCCGGTCTCAGACAGAAGCCTCGGAGCCAACCGCCTTATCTCATCCACTTTGGCAGAGTGTACTGAGTGAACCTTGAGATTACGCATGTTTACATGTCTTATCGCAGAATCCCCGATAAAGAGCGACTCAGCTGCATTTGACCTTGACTGAGACTGAGACTGGGACTGAGAGACTACTGCTGATTCATCTTCCAAAAGTGGTGAAAAGCGGTTCCTTGTAATTAAAGATTTTTGCTGTGGCATTATGACACTCTTGTTATCATTAGCTTTGCCTTGTTTGGGCTTGGCACCATATGTGTTCCAACAATTGTCTCTGTTGATTTTGGGAAATG